TTGGGCCAACCTGTATATAAGGATGCAACATATCACACACGTTGTGCACACATTAGTGACTTCCATTCATCGCTTTGACAAAACATGGCACTATTTTGAACATCTACAGCTGTACACTTTCTGCTGTTTCCTGTAGGTGGCACTCTAGGGTACAACTACTAACATAAGCATTCGAGTTAATTAAATTGTTTATGGTACCATGAGCCTTTGGGTGCTACTTATTCTGTGTTTTGTATATATTTTGGTGTTTACGATAGCACCACTACTGTTTCCCCCAACCACCCCTTCAATTACACTTAAGTATTCCCCTTATAGTAAACCACTTTTAAACCACTACAGATTATTGTAAGGGTTACGGTTCTATAAGTATATGAGCTCTGTCTCAAAGAATGTAGGCTGCAAAAGCTGTTCTAATCCATCCTCTGCACCCAGGTGTCCATTTTGGATGGAATTAATCTAATACAGATCTCAGTGCAGCCAATTAGTGGATGGGCTATGGGTAAAAGGGCAGTCCATTTTTGTCAAACTACTCCAAAATTATTTGAGAAAAACTATGGGAAAGCACCCATACACCACACCTACTAAAATAAGATGTAGACAGTAAGGTTCATTAAGAACCTAATTAATATATTTTATCATTTTAATTATTTCAAAATATATATACCTACCATTATTTAGTATTTATAAAGCAACAGAATATTTCACATTGTTGCTTTGTTTGGGGAATACAGAAAATAAAATATATGCTATTGTATATTTGAAGAAAAGGTTTTGAAAGTTTGCATGGAAAACTGGTATAAAGCTATGAAAAGCCATCTGTAAAAGTGTTGGGTGAAAGTAATCTGTTTGTCAGCCCAGACCTGAAAATGTAATGAATCATCAACACGTTAGCCAAGATTTACTGACCTCCATTAAAGTGACATAAAAATGTATTCGTGATGTTGAGTGATTATTGCCACATTATGACAGGCCTTCTCTTGCCCTGAGATACTAGATATTCAGTGTGTCCTTGTCAGTCACAGTGTAAGGGTAAATGAGTACATTACAAAATAGCAATATGGTACAAATCGTACAAAGTATGTCAATATATGTATTTATGAATCAATTTCAAGTGAGAATCTTGAGTAAAAATGCAGTTTTCCTGTTTAAACTAAAGTGCTGACCAGTTACGTTGTCTGGCATGTCCAACTACTAGGACCCATTTCCTGAATACATATTTTCTAGAATAACCCATGGCTAACTCTACAACCAGACACCCAGCTCCTGCTTGCATTGTCATCAATGTCACAATACCTGTAAACCCACTCGGGCTGTCTGGCCTTGTGCTATCAATTCTGTGTCACTTTGGTATTATGGTCAAATATGGCTGCCGTTACCCTGTGTCCTTTTTATTCACCTCCTGCCATGCCTTTTAGTCACCTCCTGTCCATTTTCCAGATGCATTCCAAATGTTATTCAGGCAACACTGCACATGCATGTTCTGCCACTGCCATTATGACGCTGAAAGTTTAGTTTAAGAGGTTTTTTTGCCACCCAGTCTCATTACCTTTAGGAGAACTGGAGTGGATCCACAGTCCCTTGGTGTCCAGTGTGGACTGCTGCTGTGCACCTCTGCAGGAGCTCAGATCCATATGAGCACTCCCTGTGTAGCGCCCTGGGCTGGAATTACATCACATTCCCGGCTCCCAGGACCTCTACAGGGCACGCTAGGGATCTGCACAGGGAATGCTCATATAGGTTAGAGTTCCCCCACTGGCCATATAATTCCCATCAGCGAGTGTTTCATATCAGGCAGGCTGACACTTGATATCGGGCAACATATTTCCAGCAGCTGCTCAGCGCCAAGAGAGAGGATGCAGTGCTGCGGTAGGGAGATGCTGAGGAGCCACTCACCTAGCGCAGGAGCACAGGACCCTGGAGAGCATCTCATTTGGAGGAGGGAATGGCCCCTCTGCCCCCACAACTCCACTGCCTCAGGGTGTCCCCCCCACCCTCTAGTGCCTGGGCTCGGTGCTCCCATGGTACCATAAACAATTTAATTAACTTGAATGCTTATGTTAGTAGTTGTACCTTAGAGTGCCCCCTACAGGAAACAGCAGAAAGTGTACAGCTGTAGATGTTCAAAATAGTGCCATGTTTTGTCAAAGCGATGAATGGAAGTCACTAATGTGTGCACAACGTGTGTGATATGTTGCATCCTTATATACAGGTTGGCCCAAATGTAGGTACGCAGTATAGTTTATTTACATTTTATTACATTGTTTCCTAGAATCCATGCACCTTTTCAGGATCGCCCTGCTCCTCCCCTTTATAAATGTCAAGTCCAGACATGCATGTATCTATGGCAACAACTCCACCTCTCCATCTATAAGCTACACCGTTTTTTGTAATCAGACACACACTCCCTGACAGTCACACACTCTCACTGAGAGACACACAATCTCAATGACACACACACACTCACTTATTTCACACACCCTGACAGACACACGCTCACTGTCATTGAGAGTGTGTGTCCATGTATGTCAAATCAATGAGTTTGTATGTCAAATCAGTTAGTGTGTGACTTCAGTGAGTGTGTCTGTCAGTGTGTGTTTCAAATTAGTGATAGTTTGTGTCAGACATATACTCTCACTGATTTGAAACACACTCACTGACAGTCACACACTGGCACTGACAGTCACACACTGACACACTCTCAATGACAGACACAATCTCACAGCTTTGAAACACACTGACAGACACACTCTAAATGACAGACACATTATCTCACTGATTTGAAACACTCACTGACAGACATATTTACTGACAGACACACAAACACATACATTGACAGACACCCACTAACTGACAGACAAACTCATTGACAGACACACACATACACTGACAGATACACTGACAAGACATACATACATTGACAGACGCACACATTGACAGACGCACACACTGACAGACACACGTACAACGGACAGACAATCACACATTTTCACATTTATGGACACACACTCAAATTAATCATGCAAATTAATATTTCTTGGGTTCTTTTTTTTTAGCCCCATCAGGCCCATACCCACATTTAGGAGACACACTCACATTGACAGACACACACATATTGACAGACACAGACACACACTGACAGACACACTCACACATTCTTGCAAACACACTAACACACTCACAAATTAACATTTCTTGTGGTTCTATTTTTATTTTTTTACCTCTATTTAGGAGTCCTCTCCCTAGGGTCCAGTGGCTTCAACGTTCTTCCTGCTCCAACTGGCCAACTCCTGGGCCCCTGTAATAGCAATTGGCCTGCTCCTCACTGCACCCCCCACCTCGTGGAACTTGGGAGCGCTGCACCATGTGCACCCACGCAGGATCGGCCCTGCCTCGGCCTGTTCTTGACTATCTTTTATCTGTTTGGAGGTATACTTTGAATCGCCGTAGACACCTCATTAAGCCACTCCAAGGTCTGGTAATACAAAAAATTAGCCTGGTTTTGTCACAAATAATCCGTACACTCCTCCATTAGTCTATCACCAGGAGCTATTAGCTTCATAGAGCTACTGACACTCAGTTATTGCCTAACATGATTTTATTTCATCCAGCCAGTTTGCCTAGGTGCTTACTGAACACCAAATCTCTCCATGGCACTCTTCATTGTTAGGATTTTACAAGTGAAAGAATCCCTGGCTAGGTACCCAAATGGGCTCCTGAAAAGCCTAGAGTCTTATGCTCTCCTTTACTCCTTTACTGATGGCCTTACTACTACAAGAGAGAAAGCAGTGTCTCTGTGTTAACATGATTCATTGAGCAGGTGGGATATGCATAGTCTGTCATTTCCTGCCAGCTCAGTTTCACTTACTGCAGACTACAGGAAAGGAGACGTCTGATCTCTACCAAGATTTATAGGAGTGGGTTGTAAATACTACCTACACATTCATTATTAAGCCTGCAAAGTACAGAATGCTGGGAGAATGACTAGAGAGAGGGATGAGATAGAGGTCAGAGAGGAAATTAGAGTTTCTGGGAGAGGGAGAAGATGGAGGTCAGAGAAGAAATTAGAGTGTCTGAGAGAAGGAGAAGATGGAGGTCAGAGAGGAAATTGGAGTCTCTCGGAGAGGGAGAAGATGGAGGTCAGAGAGGAAATTAGAGTCTCTCGGAGAGGGAGAAGATGGAGGTCAGAGAGGAAATTAGAGTTTCTGGGAGAGGGAGAAGATGGAGCTCAGAGAGGAAATTGGAGTCTCTCGGAGAGGGAGAAGATGGAGGTCAGAGAGGAAATTAGAGTTTCTAGGAGAGGGAGAAGATGGAGACCTGACCATTTTTAGTAGGATGGAAGGAGAACTAATATTGGGAAGAAAAATTGTGGCCGCTCTCAGGGAGAAAGATATAGAAATTAATAGATTTTCCCTGTTTTTCTTTTATCAGGGAAACGTTATCTGGAGAGAGGTGTTAAGAAACGTGCAGACACCCAACAAGTGACATGTCCACTTTAACAATCACCTGCAAAGTGGTGCATTATTTCCAAGCTCCAATCCCAGATGTATTTGGGACCAAGCAACATCACTGTTATAAACATGCTTATGCTGTGACGTGGTTGAAATACGCCACATCCCTACAGTCAGAGCATGATTAGTCATACAATAGACCTCCCATCCAGCTGTTGTACATTTACCACTTAATTATCCTTTTCTCATATTTAAGGCTGGCAGAGCATCATAAGCATTCTAGATTTAATCCACTTCTGGTCCACTTTTTGCTCACCCCTAAACTAGCCTGTTTCATTTCTGCACTCCTCATTGGCATTCATGGGTTACAAAAATGAAAACTGCGAATCTACTTTAATTAAATACTTTTTACTGTTGAAGTAACTGTGGCCTAGAAACCTTTTTAAGTTCCAAAATTCCCATGATGTGACATATGCCCCCTGATTCTGACTAAACCAGATGGGCTTGTCTTGTTCTGTATATCAGAAAAATAAATTCAATGCAAGTCCTGAGAACATTTTTAATTATTAGTTTAATCATATTCAGATTAATTGACAGCTTCTTTGTTATGTAACCCATTCATTTTCTATTTTGGAGGCTTGGTGGTGTATTTTTAAACCATGCTTTATAAAGTAACGTAGCACTGATTAAAAGCACTGGAGCTGGTCCAGGACACATTCTTTATATGGGTAGAAGAGTCTTGCTCATCCTAATTAATGCTGTGCATATTCGTTTTTAATAGTTAGCTACAAAAGTCTAATTCTGAGAAAAAAAATGGTCTTGTATTTGTTGCTAGTTACACCAAAATGACAAAATTGGAATTGTATCTAATTTTGGCTGCTTTGCCTTGACCTTTTCCTATCAGCCATCATAAATGATGGCTCATAATAAACGATACCCACAGCATTTATTATTTTTAATGGGAAGTTATGGAGAGTTATCTATAGTCCTAATGAATCTGAAGCAAACGTTGGGGGCTTATTTGTTGACTCTTGTCCGTCTTCTCACTAGGTCTGGTATGCTTTTCTTTTTATTTATGCCACAAGAAAGATAGAAAAAATGCAGACAGGCTTAGGATATCCAAAAAATCCCAGTCTGTCTACATTACCTGGAAATGCTGTATAGCAATGTAGCATGGGAGAATACTCATTAAAGAGACCCGGTAAGGACAATCTAGTGAAGGATATAAAATAGATATATCAACAGTACTAATATTCCTATGTTCTCTAAAGGGGATGCACATAGGACACTAAACAACCTGGCAATAGGTCATATACATCAATATAAGCCCTTATTCCTATATAACAGCTTTAATGAGATACATATACTAAATAGGAAAGGGTATTCATATAGCAGTCTAATTGCCAGTGTCTGTCTTCCTAAGTGCAAAAAACCCACAAATGTCCTGTATCCGTATTATATAGTGAAATCAATGGAATATATGTCTGCTGAAGGTATATGCAATTACCACAGATGGTTTATATAAAATCAAACCATATATGGAGGGAGATCTTGCAAGACAGCAGACCTTACATATATACAGGAAATGAAAGTCCAGAGTAGTCCATTGGGGAGAGACCCAAATGGAAAGTACAGAAAAAGGAGTAGTAGAAACAAATGGTCAGTCAAAAATGAACTGCCATGTATATAAAATTAAAAAGCCTCTCTCCTTGGTAAACTAACTAGACAGGCATAGGAATATAGAGAAAGTAAAGCAAAGTGTAAATATTACAAAGTGAAATTCATAGTGCTAGGGTGCCATTCAGTGGCCAGTGTAAAAGTTGGCAAAACGCCCGCGAAGACAGACACTGGCAATTAGACTGCTATATGAATACCCTTTCCTATTTAGTATATGTATCTCATTAAAGCTGTTATATAGGAATAAGGGCTTATATTGATGTATATGACCTATTGCCAGGTTGTTTAGTGTCCTATGTGCATCCCCTTTAGAGAACATAGGAATATTAGTACTGTTGATATATCTATTTTATATCCTTCACTAGATTGTCCTTACCGGGTCTCTTTAATGAGTATTCTCCCATGCTACATTGCTATACAGCATTTCCAGGTAATGTAGACAGACTGGGATTTTTTGGATATCCTAAGCCTGTCTGCATTTTTTCTATCTTTTTTGTGGCATATTCTATTTGGGGTTAAGCCCCGTTGAGACTCCTGGAGTCTCCTGGCGGTATATAAGACTTTTATGTATAGGTGTGTTTCCCCACGCCCTCTAGGGAGGTGATACACACAGATACATGCACTGTCTTAACTGTATGTTTTTTTCTTTTTATTTATAATTGTTTTTGGGTTTACAATAATTTTTGGGTATCTCATACAGCTACTTTTGGATACTTGTATTCAGTGATTTATGCAATGTGTAGACTGTCTATAGGCTACTGTAGAACTTGTAGGTGTTACATTGTACTTTTCATTTGACATTGCATGTCTTTTTCATTCATTGATACAGTTAATGAGATAGCCTATTACTGTGACCCATTTAATAAAAAAAATTTCATATACACTTGTGGTTGTGCCCTTTGTTTAAGCAATAGATGAATCTGAAGCATCAACACAGAAATATGATATGGCACCTGGCATGTCAGTAAGAGATAAAAAGATAAAGACTCAGGGGCGGAGCTAAAACCTTCAAGCGAGACGGACGTGCTTCTGGGCTATGCTTGAAAATCATATGACAGGCACTCTGTCTAAAGCTCGGGAGGAAGACCAGAAGAGCAAACTTCGGGGTGAGGACCCTCTGGGCGACATATCCACCTAAGCATCAGTCTGACTAAAGACTTGCTCACTTGGGCAGAAGGTCACTTGAAGCAAGGCCTCACGAAAACGTCCATGCACGTATAAGACAGTCTACTGAAAACAGCAATCGACTATACCACCCTTCTGCTCTGTCACAACAAAGCGGGACTTGCACTTTAAGAGGTGCAGAGACTGTGGCAGATGCATGCATGTTAGCACTCTTGGGATACAATGCATGTGTGATCATGACAAAGAGAATCCTCAGTTAGGAACATCCATGGCTGGTATCTTCTTTGCCTCCAACTCTGCTAGGCACCAGAAAGCAGGACACATTTTTTCCACAGTATGAGTGACAATGACTGCTACGAAGAACCTCTTGGTATTGCCTGCTCACACCACCAGGCTCTCCCAGGGAGGAAAGAAAAGAAAAGAAAAATTGGTGAGGCTAATTAGCAATTAACAAATTAGTACCTTTGGTTTCTAAAATGAGTGATAGGGGAAAAAAACTGTTAATCATACTTAAATTTTGACACATAAGGGTAGAATGCAAGAGCTTTAACATTAAAATATCAAATAAAATATTGCTGAAGAATAAAAGCTAAAGTTCAGCACAGTTATAATATATTACAGAATACATTTGTAAAAGGATGTATTCATATCCATAAATGCACAGCTGTGCTTTTAAAAGGTGCAGCAGATTCCCCTCCAGCAGTTTTAGGAGAACAACATAAAGACAGAATGATGGAAAGATTCCTACATCAATTGTATTTACATTTTACAGCATAGAGGTATTTGCCAATAAATATTTATTTTGGTTTACTGACCTATGATTTTATACCTACACTATAAAAATCACTTTATATTTTGTTTCAGTTATATTGTTGCTATGATCACCTTAGAAGAACAGAAAGGAAAACAAAGACAGATAGACTTTTATGAAATACTCACATTGACTGTGTTTGAATTTCAGTGAAATACCAATGCAGTCAAAAGATAAACCAAGACAAAGTGTGAACTCCACCTTGTGACGGACTGCGTGGCACCCTGACCGGGTACCTCCGTCAATCGCTGCTTCCTAGTGCTTGTGAGTACCATAAGCACCGCACCAGACACCATAACCACCGTAAACCCCATGAACAGCCGCAGTTTGGTTGGGGTCTCGCCGTCCTCCTCCCACCCTGGACCCAAGACCAGGATCCAGCTTCCAGTGTGTAGGCCTCTCCTACTCCAGAGTGCGTAGCAGGAACAGCTCTTAGAAGAGCTAGTGATTATACTCAGGGGAGTATTGTGATATAGCAATCCCTAGAGTGAATGTAGTTTTCCAATCCCCGAAACATGAGCCTTCATGAAGGGGTAAAGCATTCTGTTCAATGGCAGCCACCACAGGCCTTATATGCAAGTCCCCATGTAAGGGGCACTCTTACCTGCACCTTGTGGGGAACTCCAGCACCAAGTCACAGACCAATAACAACAATGGATAAATGCATGACACTCCTATTTACAAACACACGATCCCTCCCCTCTGCCTTGGAGATAATTGAATCAGGAACTGTACTAATCTAATCCAATTATCTCCAAGCACGGAAAAAACATACTTTTTTAAAACACCCCAAAAGTACCCTAAAAATACCCCACAAATGTTACATCCCCTGATAGCCCTGATCTGGGTGACCAACATATCCAAAAATCACCCAGATCAGTTCAGGGGTTCAAGAATTTCCTGGAAGTCTTATTTTTGACCCACCGTGCACATGGTCCCATGCCCAAAACTGTTCCAGAGAATTAGGGTGTGGCAAAAGTGACCTCGCCACTGGTTTTTGGAGGGGCTTGTTTGCCAGCCTCTTGCCCTGCGACTATGGCCCTGGGATGTATTTCCCTTTAAGGAACTGATTTGGGCATACTGTATTTTATTATGCTGCTGCTGGCCCTTTAAGAACCACCTGGGGACATACTGTGGAGTTACTGAGTGGCCACCATTTCATGTATCAGAGGCACATGGTGAGAACAATGGATGAAGCACATGGTGAGAACAATGGATGGCGGCCATTTTAACTCACAGACACTGTTTTGACTTTTCTACACAGTGCCATCTCGCCGGTATTTGGTGCACAAAGACATCGTTCAGTAGTTTTAAACTACAGAACAGGGGACACATTTAACAGTAATTCTTTTTCATATAGCCTGTATATGTTCTGCGGAATCTGCATTAAACCGTATCTTCCAAACTACTGAACGGATCTGAATCCGGTTTTTATGGTTTTTTTGCATGTTTTGGGGTCCCTGTGATATGTTTTATAATACTGTATTTTCCTGCCTGTGATAATTAAGTTAGTCTATTGTGTTGAGATAATTGTATCACAGGCAGAGGGGAGGATTTCTGATGTAATTAATGGGAGTGTTAGCTGTGTTGTAATGTGTTGATTGGTTGTTCTTCAAAACTCTGTGGGCAGTACTATGTTTGTAGAATGTGAATAAAAGAGGCTGTATGTGCCAGTCTCTTATTGGGGGAATTGCTATATCACTACAAGGGATTGCTATGCTCTGCATGCTCCCTTAGCTAATCACTACTAAGCTCTTTTAAGAGCTTGTTCCTGCTTCACTCTCTTGGAGGAGAGGTTCACCCACTGGAACCTGGAGCCTTTTCATAGGTCCAGGGTGGGTAGGAGACGGCGAGACCCCAACCAAGCTGTGGCGGTTCGTGGGGTCTACGGTGGTTGTGGTGTCTGGCGGAGCGCTTGGAGCCCTCTGTAAGCGCTAGGAGCATCCTTCAACTGAGGGCTAACGGGTGCCAGGTGATCCGTTACATAGGGCTAACGGTCGGTCTCTCTGTCTGGAGGACAAAAGTACATACTTCCCATGGACAGAGCCTTTTAAAGTGCATTGGGCAAGGTATATTGCAGGGCGCATAGTCCTTAGGCAAGACGCTGGCCAGCAGGCCCCTCCAAGAACCCGTGACGAGGTTCAGTTTGTCTCAGGGCCATAATCACAGGGTAGGAGGCTGGCAAACAGGCCCATCCAGGCCCATCCAAAAGCCAGTGACGAGGTTACTTTCATCACACACCTTTTGACAGGTTTTGTCATTTCCCCCAGGTGAAAGTTTAGGGGAATAAGGCCTTGTCTATGGGGAGTCCTTCGGCCTCACAGAATCCTCCATAGACCTCAGTGTTGTACTTTCATACATACACACACAAGAGTACAGCACTGACCTGGGCTCTGGCAGAGGACAAGACAGGAGCTGAAGAGGACTGACAGGAAGACCATGGTAGCGGCCATGAGGGACAGCTTCATGTAAGTAAAAGACAGACAGCAATCCTTGGGCACCTTTTAGACTTGCTGACAGCTTGTGCAAAACTGCGGACGACATTTGCAGCCTAATGAAACAAAAGATTCAAATATATCGGAGCGCTAAGAATTTTTAAATGAGCAGAAAAGTTTGTCATATAAAAATGATAATCACCAGATTTGGAAAAGTTTATAATAATCTTTCAGCTACAACACTTCCATGGACAACCTTCACCACATCTTAAAACATCTAAAAAAATTAAAGAAGTGGAGCGATATTTAGGTGACAAGCCCCATATGCATGTGGTATGGGACTTGTCACCTAAATATCGCTCCACTTCTTGAATTATTTGCAGCCTAATGTTGTTGCCTAAAGATGCCGGCCTCGGCGCAGCACTAAACCGGCTCGAGTAACCAAGCACAGGCCGCGCACCTGGAGGAAACATCTCTCCCCCAGATATCAAGCCTCCTCCCTTGATACACAGCGGGAAATCTGCTGGTGGAAGAGGAAAGCACCTGCTGGAGCCTGGACCTGAAGGGCAGACGCACAATATGACAGTACAGGGGACTTCAGCTACCATCTCCACCTCCATGGATTCTGCCTGAACGCAATGGGCATTGGCTGAATAGACTACCATCCTAGGGACGCTGGACCTTAAATATCCTGCCACAGTGAGTGCCCTGCTGCAGTGTCTCTCCTTATGAGCACAATAACCTGTTAAACCTGCTGTGATGTGCATCTAGTGCCCAATTACTACACTCTTTGGTGGTTTAAACCTTGTGTATTGTTTAAAATCTTAAACCTATGTTTACCCTTGATTGGTACCTTTGTGCCCAGCGCTAACGATTAGTCTATTACACCTTGTAACCAACCTCATGTACTTCATGAAGTACATTTGTTCGCACACTCCCGAAATGCTAGAGGTTTAATGATTATAGCCTGTTCACATTGTACGCTGAGAATAAATCAATCGGTTCGTCGTTCGCATACCCAAAAATCACTCGAGACTTGATGAAGGGTACAACATGGGGTACAGCATGGGGTCTCAAGCAAGGACATAGTATGACACTCCCACAACATGCCCAAAACACGCCCAAGACACTCCCAGGCGTCTCTGTGTTTGGGAAATAATTTAGTGTACTTTACTTAAACTAATCATCTCCCAGGCACTGGAGGTACAAATCATAAAACATAAATTACCCCAAAATACATATAACACATAGAGTGACCCCCGCAAATATTATATCCCCGGATAGCCTGGATCTAAGTGCCTAACATATCCTAATAACGCTCAGATCCTCCGAAAACAGCTAAATCGCCACCGAGGTAAAGTTCTGACTGACCGCACACGTGGTGCCTGCTCAAATTAGTTCCAGAGAGTCAGTGGTAGTGGTCGGTCAATTTTGGGAGTTCCAAAACAAACAAAAAGACGAACGGTTTCCCTGGCTCATAGGTAGCGATTGTTCGCCTTGTTCGTGCGAACAATCCTACCAAACAGCGCTCTCCTGGCTTGTCGTGGAAAGAAGCAGGCATTAGTGTGAAATTACCAATGTTCGCAAGGTCGAGTGTCCGACTTATTGTTTCAGACACTCGACGACCAAGTCCCGCTGCCTGCTTTTGTGTGACAAGATGGCCACCGTTTTCTCCAGCGCGTGTTGTTTGGTTATGAAAACAGCGGCCACACAAAGAGAGCACTTGAGTTTGTGGTTTATTTTAAGTTTATGAGCCAGGGAGGTGGTCGGTGTTTGGTAGATCCATCTACCGAACGTAGGGAACTTAACTGGGTGAATAAAATACAGAGTTTTTGTCACACACCTGTTACCAGGACACAAATGACCAATTTGTTTATATAGTTTACTTTACATAATTGAAAGAATGTGCAGCTTATCACTACGTCATGTTTACCTCCTGATCATCTACTCTATCTTTAACTATATCACATGTCACTGCTACACTGTATTTTTTTTTTTTTTAAATAAAGAATAATTTATTTATTTTTAAACACAGACTGATAGATACATTCATAACTATACATGCAGTTGAAAATATATTGATTTTATTGAATTATGACTCCGTAAGGACTAATCTCTTTCAAAGTCTTGTTTGCGAGATGGGAATTCAGGCAAGATCCATAGCTTACAAAACCTTCAGTCACATGGTATATTATATTTTCAGTACCCATCAGAGGCGCAATGTTATTTAGAGATCTAACAGGACTTATCAATGTCATATTAAAGTTATGATGAAAATGAGGTTTTAGTCACATATAATGGTAAATAAAATGGTCAGCCTACAAGTGTATAAGCTGCAAAAAGTTAAACTGTTTTCCCTTTTTCTTTCCTTTATCTTTTTCTTTTAACAAACGTGGTCATCTACAGCTTGGAGGGTCCCCTTGATATAGATATAATAATAATGTTTTATTATTATTACAGTAGTATTTTTTTCAGAGTGCCTCAAGAAAGTGAACATTTTATTTGTTTTATTTATTACAAAACTAAATATTTTAATTAAGCTTAAACTGAAACAATTGGTTTTCCAGTGGCTATGCCACATTTGAAAAGCACTGACCAATTCTAAAATATTTTATTGCTGTTATTAAAACAAGAGATGCAATATTTGAACACTGGTAGTTCCTATCATATTGTGCGTTTAAAACTTTTAAGAACAATGAAAAACATTTAGAAACAAAACCCTGACGTGTAAACTGAAGTATATATTGAAAAATGCAGTAGCCAGTGAGATATGTTTTGTTCAATTAACATTGTTTGATTGTGTAAAAGTTTTGTGGTTGTTGTTTTTTAAATTCACACTCTTTAATGTGTTTGTAAACCAAAAAGGTCTTGGATAGTCCTCCGGAGTTTTGCCATAAATATCTGAATCCAATTTACTTTCATCATTCCTTTAAGTGTGTATAATAAAATTGGAAGACGCTGACAAAACATAAAGTTTTTAAGCTACCTCTTGGTATTTGAAAGAAATGGCCAAAACTCAATGTTCTTGGTATAGTGACACCAAATTATGATGACTATTCTCGGATGCCTTTGCAATAATGGGAATTCTCTATCCTGAAGAAATTACTCACATAACTAAAAATTGTGTTTTTCTAAAGTAATGTTGGAATAAACAATTTACAGAAAAAAAAAAACATTGCCATGACTAAATTAAACTGCATTTGTAAATACCCCTAATTTTGATGTAAAAGTTGTGTTTTGTTTATTTTATTTAGTATTTTCTTTGTTGAGTTGCAAACACTGTGGTATCTAAACTCTAAACCAAGGGTCAACAACCTCTGGCATGTGTGCCATGCATGGTACTCGAGGGGCTTTTGCAACAGGCAAAAAGCTCTGGCCTCTCAGGAGTCCCTGGTGCAAACTGAGTGGTGATTACAAATGGTGAGGGACAATCCTCAATTTACACACTGCAACACTTAGAGGAAGTGATCTCAGATCAAGTCATCCCAGCACATATCATCCACACAAAATTCCAAAAGCAGCCCGCCATACACAGCCCACATTCATAGGCATCATACAAAATACCACAATACCACAAGCTACTCATGAACTTATACTGTACAATAACAGCCCACATACGCACAAATACAATGCTACAAATAACGGTAGCACCCACAAATAACTCAACCAGAAAACAGCAACAGCAACACACCTCAATTTATACATTTAGGATTGGCATGCCAAGGGACTTTAAAATCTTCTTTTGGCACAGTACTACAAAAAGGTTACCTACTTCTGCTCTAAACGCTGAACAGCAATTGAATACTATTAGTTTTTTTTGTTTTACAATCTTTATTTTTGTATTTTCATCAAGAAAGTTTGGCTTATTGTGAAATAGTGAAGTAGAAGCATTTTACATACAGTTATTAAGTCAACCAGTAGCTTTACATATCCACTTCCAAAACGTAAGCCCTCATTCCTGTGTTCAGTTTTTGGGTGGATTCAGGCTGTGTGTGCTGCGAGTGCTGTTTTCTACTTTGGGTTCATGGCTATCTCCATGCTTTTGGGCTGGAGTTGCTTCTGCGCTGTCTTACCAGCGGGACAGGGGTGGGGTGGGGTGAATTAGGGGAGAATATCGACTCCAGGGGAAAAAGTGAAGGGAGAGTGCGGTAGGGATAAAGAGAAGATCAGAGAAGGAGAAGGAAAGAAAAAAAAGGTGGGGGGGAGCAAGTAATAGTTCTATATTTCATTGCCACCGCTGCATGCCATGTCTCAGTTAACAACATCAGTTCTGTTGGTCAGAGCTTGTGAGTGTCCCCTCTCTAGTGTCGTGGTTTGCTCCGTCCCGGTGTCTTGTTGGGGATGTCATTGTTTCCTGTGCATTGCCGGAGGACTATGACCTGATGTTAGCGTCTAGGTCTGCACTTCCTCCCCCTCGGTCCAGGGGTACCATTTCAGGTCACACTTGTCGGAGCCACCTCTAAGGTCTGCAGTCATATGTTCCATGGAGTGTATCTCCTCAACTTTCACCACCCATTGCAGAAAGGTCGGCGCACCCGGTTGCTTTCAGTGGCCAGGGAATTCGTGGCCATGAGTAAGTGCATTGTGAGCAGTTTTTTGTATGTCAACACCGTGCTGTCTGTGGGGTGCAGGAACATAGGAAGTGGTTGGTGAGGGAGGTCTGTGCCTGTGATTTTACATATTTTTGTGTTTACCATAGTCCATAAGGGGGTAATCACCAGCACGACCACCAGATGTGCACACCAGTCCCGGCCTCTTCGCCGCAACGCCAGCAGGTGTCGGGGTTGTCAGGGTTTATTCAGTGTAGCACATCTGGGGTCCTGTACCAGTGGGTTAAGAGCTTGTAGCTTAGCTCCTGGTATTTTACTCCAAGTGAGCATTTATGTGTTAGTATGTATATTTTATTCCAGTCGTTCTCTGATAGTGTGACTCCTGTTTCCCTTTCCCATAGGGATATGAATCCCGGAGGTCTGTCATCCTCTCCCATCATCAGTAAGGCATATAGGGCTGAGACCCCTCTGTGTAAGTGTTCCCTAGCTGTGCAGTAAGTCTCAAATTGTGTATATGTTTTGTGGAATTGTAGGCGACCCTTTGACGCCTAGTAGTAGGTGTGTATTTGGTGGTATCGAAACCTCTCTAGGGCCGTCGGCTGTCTGTCTGTGATCAAGTCCGTAACGGCTTTCAGGTTTCTGTGCCATTGGTAAATATATTTACAGTCTGAGCCCTGAAACCCAACTAAGTCAGTCGGTTTCAGTCCGTCTGCTAGGTCTGGGTTGTGTACAAGGGCAGTCAGCGGGGAATGGGTTTTTGTCAATCGCCTCGCGTATCTGACCGTGCACCACACCCAGACAATTCGGCTGTTTTAACCCATTCGCAAATTTGGTTATTTCAACTTCTGTTTGGTTACAGTTCAAAAGTCTGTAGAAATCAGCCAATTTTCCATATATCATGAGTGAATCGGCTGTTCACAAATAGCCCAATTATAGTACCCTAGGTCACCTTAACACACTAAGGCAACCCCAACCATAACTCTCCCCACACTTAACTACTTCATTGGTGGCATTTTTATTTTTTATTTTATTACTTACAATTTGGCTTCATTTTGGCTGTAATTCGGTTGAGCTGTTTTTAAATTAATCTAACTGCAGCAATGAGATCAGTTTGAAAAGAGGAGAGATCCATTTGGCTCAGTTCAATTACAATTCTGTTGTAAATTAAATAAATTGAGTTGAATGCAATCAGGCGAAATTCCAAAAGCATATTCGGCATTTAGCGAATTAGACCTCTGTGTCTGAGGGCACTGGAAAATCAAAGTAAACAGAAAACAAAATGAGATAAATGCAGCCTAATTGTCAAGGTCAGTCATGCAGAAAGGTTTCATGTGTTTCATGTATGTATTTCCATAAGATTAATGCTAAATAGACACAAGATAATATGACCATGACTGCTTATAAACCGCTCATAAAACATCCATATTTCACAAATGAATTGGATTAAATAGACTTTGGCATATTGTGTACACTATTCTCATTAAAATTATTCATTACACATTTTATCTTATAAGCATCCCTGTTAAAACCAGCCATAAGCCGGAGTCATTTCCTTAGCATGGTGAAAGGGAGATCAGAACGTGAAACATTTTTAAACATTAATTATGCGCACAGGAAACAATAGGTTCTTATTTTGTTTCTGCAAACCAAACTTTGAGACCTGAAGCTCTTTTTTTTCATTTAAAAATAATGATATAATATAAAATAAAAATGAATGCTGAAAAAGTATCCTTACCACTCCCAAAGCAGCATTTATGATATGTGAATATCATATTATATGATTTATTGATATGTAAAGAAAATAATTTTTTTACATACAACAGTAAGTGTCATTATTTCACCAATCATGGCTTACACTGCACCCAATTAACCTATGAACCAATTAAGCTATGAAGATTTCAATGGTTATATTGGAAAAGGTTAGACTGTGTCCCATTTATTCGAGTACCACTGGGTCTCTGCAGGGTTTTTGACTTTGGGTGCTTCCAGCTGGTGTTTGGGTTCTATTGTGGCTCTATTGCCATTATTTTCTCCGATCAGACTATAGAAAACATAGCATAACAAGAACTTAACTAGGGAGATAAAAAAGAAAAGAAAGGTATACCATGATGGTAGCTATTAATGATCATCAGAGATTGGTATTCTATTCCTTTTGTATCTTTTCCATCTAAGGTAATTTCACATACCAAAATTATCATGTGTAAATACTTTCATTAATTCCAATTTTTACAATATGATTATTTGTAATTTTTATACCTTAACCTTCAATTATGAAATTATATTATTATTAACGGTCAATATTATTCACTGTACTCCTTCATCTTATACTATATATACAGAATTGTTCTAAATTTAATGTCCGTAGGATCTATAACATCAGTTATACTACCAAAATCTTACACACTTATACTGACAGACACACTTGTCGGTAGGGAGGGTTGGGGGAGTAGACGTGCACTCACTAGGCCCCGATATATCTGTTTACTTCTCCCATGGGTCCCAAATTTTATAACACAAGTCTATGTTTTCAAAGTTTATATATACTGCTTTCTCCATTAATCGTTGAAAATCCATTTGGAATTTAACTTCGGACCAACATGGAGTTTCTTGGGTCTTCCAAAGTCTGGCAATACAAATTTTTGTAGACATTAGAATCTGGATTAAAAGCATTTGTAATGGTTTGTTAATCTTAGGAAAGTCTATGTGAAAGAGAAAACTTTGAATACTTAAAGTATATGTTACACCCAACAATTTTCCTATTTCGCATTCTAATTTATTTTTTAGTACAGATAATTTTTGTACAATCCCACCATATATGTTTATGTGAACCAATATCAGTATAACACCTCCAACACTTATTTTGACTATTATAGTCATTATTTAGAAATTTTGCAATTGTATTAGGTACTATATACCATCTGAAAATAATCTTTATAAAGTTCTCATAGAGCAATATACTATGGATTGTATTTTTTGTTAACTTAAAAGTTTTTGCCCATTCTTCCTCCAAAAGCCCAAATCCCATTTCCTGCTCCCATTTGATGATACTCTAACTTCTCTTTAGGTTTTTGTTCATATAGTATCCTATTAATCCTTGAAATTGTCTTGTTTCTTTCCTCTATTGAGAGGATGTTATCAATAATACTATTTTTTATTCTTTTATGACTAAGTATATTTTTTATTTTAAAATATGTTAAGAATTCTGTTTTTAGAGGGGGGTTATTCTCTAATATTTCTTTTAAGGTCTTAATCTTGTTTCCTGGAAGAAAAAAAATCTCCTAGACTATTAAACCCTTTGTGACGAGAGCAATCTCGCCACATTGCATTGGAGAAGCCTGGTTGCTCGCCTGCTGCCTTTGGATTATGGCCCCCATGTTAAAAGACTTTGTTTCCCCTGCAGAAAAGACTTATCCGTGCTTTTCTGCCAGGTGTTCGTTAGATTCAATCTACCGAACAACCGCACGAATGACTGGACCACCTGGGAGCTGGAGTGTGCCGGCAATTAGCCTCACAGAAGCTGCGGTTAACCGCAGCTTAATTGACAATTACTGGGTGGCCGCCATTTGTATACCGAACACGAGGTCGCTGCCATTTTAAACATGCGAACGCACAGCGGTGTTCGGCGCCTAACTCATAGAACTAAAAACGGACACAGTTTGGCGCGAACACCGCTGAAGCCGCCGACCTCCCTTCTTGTTCGGCGGGAGTGCACGAACGGCCTGGCGTTCGGGAGTTTTACCTGACTATGTTATACCCCAGATAGGAATCCCAGGGAGCCCATTCGTATGAGAACTGACTCTGTAAAGACTTTGGTTCCATGGCGATTAAACTGTATTTGTGTGGTCTGAGCGCCATTCGCTTAATAATGTGCGCTCAGACCTGAGCTATCTGGGGATAGGTTAAATGTATGGTTTTAATGTTATGTGTCTTGCATGGTATATTTTAATAGTAATTCTTGTGTTAGTATCCCCACCTGCATAATGGCAATTTGCCTTTGTCCTGGGAGATAATTGAATTACTTCTCAATTATCTCCAGGGCAGAGGGGAGGAAGCCAGGATGCATTGTGGGAATATAATGTGACTGTGTATCCTATTTGTCTACTTGTCTGTCTTTTGTCACAGTCTCCCATTTGGTCCCCTAGGGGAGTGTCCACCAGGTGGGAGACCTGCATAAATACTGGGCAGGTAGCCCTCATTAAACAGACCACTGCTTGACCCTCAACACTGAGCCTTGTCTCGTCTTTGGGGGGATTTACTGAATGCTGATAGAGACTGATTGCTAGGAGTGTAAGCCGCTTGGATGCTTTTCCTATTCGTCTGCTAGCAGCGATTCATATGGTTCCAGTTCGTGAGTTTGGAGTGTTACATTGTATGCCGTTCGGGAGTTTGGAGCATTCCCTTATTTGCAGTTCAGGAGTTTGGTGTTCTACAGTAGCTGTGCCTGCATCTCTGAAAAGGGGACGATCGCCTAAACGGTTTTTACCCCTTGTGTGCAAAACGGTCCGTTACACCCTTCTTCTTTCCATTTATCAAGTTTTACTCCAGAGATATATCCTGATAATATATCTATTGATATCTTACTAGATAAAGTATCACTTACATTATATCTTTTCTTTTTTTAATTATTCAAAAATCTATATTGTTCTATGAGTATTTTGTTTGAAATATTGAGTGTTATGAAAGCAGGGGTATCAAACCAAATTAACCATATTGGCTCAAATTTCTTATATGGATGTATTTCGATTCCTGTCCAAGAGGTGTGATCCATTTTTTTATATTTCCAGACTATAAAGTGTGTAATCATAATAGCATCATGTAACATAAAGATATCTGGAAATGATGTTCTCCCATCCCTTAAATTTTGAGTTAAATTTTTGTATGGGGTTCTAGGTCTTTTATGACCCCATACAAATTTCAGAAATGTATTATGATATTCCCGAAGAATCCTTCTTGGAACAGATATGGGTATGGATCGCATTAGATATTCGAGCTTAGAAGTGAAATAATCATTAATTAAGGTTATTCTAACCAACCATGAAATATACATAGGTTTCCATTTTATAAGTGATTTTTGTATTTCTTGAAGGAGAGTGGAATAATTATTTGTAATGATGTTGTTCCAATCAAATCCCAAATTAATTCCCAGATATTTTAATGTCTTTGAAGCCCAGTTAAAGTTATATTTTTCTTAAGTCTACACAAATTTAAATAAGTTAAATTCAAGTAAATTGCATATGATTTGCTTAAATTCATTTTATAATTTGAGATCTTACAATAGTCTATTATAAATTTAAGAGTGACAGGGATTGAGGCTTCAGGGTTAGTAAGAGTGAGAATTATGTCATATAATGATATTTTGTATTGTTGTTTTTCTTTTGTAATTGTCACGGTTCACGCCGTGACATCCAGTCTGCCAGACGTGGTCGCTCCGGAAGCGCCCGATAGGGGATTTGAACTGTGGTCCTTCTGGACCGTGTCCTGCTAGTTTCCCTCTGAGCCATTTCAGGACTTTGGATAACTCCTGTTTGTTCTTGTATTACCTGCAGCACTAGGGGTCTGGACTTCACTTAGGCTCTGATCTGTCAGTTACTCTCCAGCTGAATCTGATCCTAATTAACAGGATATAAAAGCCTGCCTCACCCTGGGAGGGGTGTCAGTTCATTGACTCTGGTTCCCTTGTTTGGTTCCTGTCTTGCTATATCCGCGTTCCAGTATTTCCTGTCTGATTCCGGCTTCTGACCTTGGCTTTCCTCCTGGACTACTCTGATATCTGGCTTCCCCTGACTTTGGCTTTCCTTGACCACGCTTCTGCTTATCCCTGCTGTACTGAGTCTTGGAGCACTTTTCCTGGAAAGCCCCCGTGCACAGACTCACAGGCCAGGTGGCGTCTTACCTGGTCACCCTGGTCTGTGTCTACTTTGCAAGGGTGAGCGTATAACTCTGCGAGCTGGACTCCCTATCAGGTAAGACTCCGTTACAGATGAACTGACCAATGGAGTCCGCAGAGTTATACAAGTTACTCACCTCCCTAGCCGAGCAAGTCTCCAACCTGTCCCAGAATGTTACAGAATTGCAGAGACATTCATTGGCATTTAAAGGAGCAACGCTTCCAGTCCCGGAACATGTATGCCCAGAACCGTATGTCTTTATGCCTGACAGGTTCGACGGTTCCCGTTCTGCTTTTCCGATGTTCAAGACGGATTGTGAGCTACTATTTGCCCTGAAATCGAGAACCTACGCCACCGACTTTATCAAAGTACGCTCCGCTATTAACCTATGTACCGGGCGGATTAAGGCGTGGGCACACCAGAAGTTGCAGGAGAGAAGTACTGTCTTGGACTCCTGGGAGTTGTTTATGTCCGCAATGGATTCTCAGTGTTTTGCAGCGAGAAAAGCAACTTCCAAGCCTACTTCAGGTTCTCGCAGAACCCGGTTGCCGAGAGAAGAGGAATTGTTTTATGGATACAAAAATCCCATCATGTTGCAGCATGAACCCACTTTCAGGGACCCGCCTTGTAACCCTGTTTACACTCGCGCTAGCAGTGAAACTCCAGTCGACATGGAGGAACCCATGGAGATTGGCTTCACCAAAACTAGATTGCCCCCAAAGGAAAAAGATCGCAGGAGAGCCCATGGTCTATGTCTATACTGTGGGAAAAGAGGGCATTTCATATCGCTCTGCCCGACTCGTCCACCTAGACCAAGACCCCTTCTGTCTGGTGCCATATGGACTTACCCTGTCATCCCAGCAAGACAGCCTGGACACTGCCAGCCCTGTCCCCGTCCTGTGACACAAAAGGGTACCCAAACTAATACCGTTAATGTTACCAGTACCTCTGTGGAAACTTCACCTCCTGCTCTAGAAACAGTTGGACCTCTTCCTGATGACACTTCTGTTCAAGCAAGCACCACTTCCTGCCTTGCCAAAACAGTTCTGCCACCTGACTGCACCTATGCCTCAAATGGCACAGTTGTGTGCAAACAGGATTTAGAAGTCTTCGAAAAAGCTTTGAAAGCTGCAAATGCCTCCCCTATAGCACCCGAAACTGGTACCCTAAAATCCCAGGTCGTAAAAGGATACCTTAATTATAAAGACTATCTTAGCGATACTGAGACCGAAGATGAGGAATACCATTTCCAGGAAGAGCCTGTTCACGCCCGGAGGGCGTTCTTGACGGGGGGGTACTGTCACGGTTCACGCCGTGACATCCAGTCTGCCAGACGTGGTCGCTCCGGAAGCGCCCGATAGGGGATTTGAACTGTGGTCCTTCTGGACCGTGTCCTGCTAGTTTCCCTCTGAGCCATTTCAGGACTTTGGATAACTCCTGTTTGTTCTTGTATTACCTGCAGCACTAGGGGTCTGGACTTCACTTAGGCTCTGATCTGTCAGTTACTCTCCAGCTGAATCTGATCCTAATTAACAGGATATAAAAGCCTGCCTCACCCTGGGAGGGGTGTCAGTTCATTGACTCTGGTTCCCTTGTTTGGTTCCTGTCTTGCTATATCCGCGTTCCAGTATTTCCTGTCTGATTCCGGCTTCTGACCTTGGCTTTCCTCCTGGACTACTCTGATATCTGGCTTCCCCTGACTTTGGCTTTCCTTGACCACGCTTCTGCTTATCCCTGCTGTACTGAGTCTTGGAGCACTTTTCCTGGAAAGCCCCCGTGCACAGACTCACAGGCCAGGTGGCGTCTTACCTGGTCACCCTGGTCTGTGTCTACTTTGCAAGGGTGAGCGTATAACTCTACGAGCTTGACTCCCTATCAGGTAAGACTCCGTTACAGTAATTCCCTCTATCTCCTTTGATTGTCTAATTAATGCTGCAACGGGTTCAATATACAGAATATATAACATAGGAGCCAATGGGCAACCCTGTCTTGTCCCATTTTTAATTTTAAAAAAACTAGATTTGAGCCCCCTCCCCTCTTACCTTTGCAGAGGATGATGTATATAAGCTCATTATTCTATTAAAAATGCTGCCCTGGAACCCAAAATCTTTTAAGGCCTCCGACAGGTAGGACCAACTAACCCTGACGAAGGCCTTTTTTGCGTCCAAAGCTAGAAATACCAATGGGTATGATTCAGCGTTAACTTCTTGTATTAAGTTCATGATTTTTCGAACATTATCAGTACCAGATCGATTAGTAACAAACCCTGTTTAATCAGAATGTAATAAATTTAGGAGCACTTTTTCCCTCTCTCCGCTAATATCTTTGAAAATAACTTGATATCAGTGTTTATAAGGGATATATGATGATAGTTGCTCATAAAACTTTCATCCTTTCCTGGTTTTAAAAAAGAAGTTATAAGTGTCTGGAGCATCTCTGATGGAAACTGCAAATCCTTATTTATTCCATTAAACAACCTACCAAGTTTTGGAGAGATCAGAGTTTGAAGTTTTCTATAAAAAAGGGATGATTTCCCATCTGGTCCCAGGGCTTTCCCTGATTTCAAGTTTTTTTATGTTCCCTGTTATCTCCTCAATTGTTATAGGAGAGTTCAGTTCTTCTATCTCACAATCCCCTATTTCTGGGAGATTAAGTTTATTTAAGAACTGCTGCATTTCTTCCACTGATGATTTTATATCTGGTAAATTATATAGGGATTCATAAAATTCTTTGAACGCTTTACTAATTGCTTCAGGTGTTTGATGTACTTCATTACCCTGAATTATTTTTCTAATCGGTTATGCCTTTGATCTAGGCTTGATTTTATTTAAAAGAAGTTTTACCGACTCTATTCTCTCCATAATATCATATTTGATTTAGTTTGAGGACAGCATTCGATGTCTTAAGTTCCAAGCCGTTTTTAATTTCTAAATAAAAATTTTGAATTTGAGTTGTTTTGTCTATTGTTACATTCTGTTTATTTTCTCTTTCTAAATACGCTAGGGAATATACAGATAGACAGATCATTTAGTGATTTCCCCATCTCCTTCTTAGCTTTAATCCCCGTTTTGATTATGAACCCTCTTATGTAACTGTTTAAAGCACGCCACAGAGTTCCTATTGTTACTTCACTGTTATTATTCGCTAAAATAAACTCCTTGATCTTTTTATTCAAGTATCTGCAGTTTCTATCTGATTTAAGAACTTCTTAAGGTTCATTTAACCTCCAGGATGATCTTATCACTGAATCTTGCTCTTCCCCTATTTCCACATTTATTGGAGCATGATCTGACCCAGTGGTGTATTAAGGGGAGGTGGCTGCGGGGGTTGTCCACCCCGGGTGCCACACACACTGCATACACTATACACACAGTGCATTCACTGTACACACACTGCATACACTATACATACACTGTATTCACTATACATACACTGCATTCACTATACACACACTGTATACACTATATACACACTGCATACATTGTACATACACTGCATACACTATATACACACTGCATACATTGTACATACACTGCATTCACTATACACACACTGCATACACTATACAATGCATACACTATACACATTCACTATACACACACTGCATACACTGCACACACACTGCATACACTATACACAAACTGCATACACTATACACACACTGCATACATTGTACACACACTGCATTCACTATACACACACTGCATACTTTATACACACAAGCTGCATTCACTACACAAACACACTACATTCTCTATGCAATCACACACTTATACATGTGTATCTGTATGTGTATCTGTTTGTGTGTTTGTTTGTTTTGTTGTGTTTGTTTATTTGTATGTATGTGCCTGTGTGTCTCTCTGTGTCGCTCTGTGTGTCTGTGTTTGTATCTGTATGTGTGTCAGTATTTGTCTGCGTCTGTGTATAACTGTGTTTCTATGTAACTGCATGTGTGTACCTATGTGTATGTGTATATGTGAGTATATGTGTGTATGTGCATACATCTCAGCATTTTGCCTAAACTACACACAAATACAACCCTGCATCCAAATGTCAACAAAAGCACACTACAGAAAAATGCACGCCTGCATTCAAATGCCAATACGTGCAAACACACCCATACATTCACTCACACATACTCCATACAATAACATGCTTACATTAAAAATATACAAACACTGCTCAGTGCTAAATAAAAAAAAAATTTTTTTTAAATTGTGGTTGTTTTTTACATTTTAAGTTGGGAGGGGGGGTGCCAAATAAAGGATCCGTCCCGGGTGCCAAATGCTCCAGGTACGCCCCTGATCTGACCAAGTGATCAGATCTAGTTTAGATTTTTTTTTAAATATCGTAAATTATTTGAATCAGTGATTCAAAGTAATCTATTCTCGAATAAGCTTTATGGACTTTCAAAAAAAAGGAGAAATCTCTTTCTTGGGGATGTTGAACTCTCCATATATCAAATAAATTATGTTCAACTAAAATTTATTTTCCCTTCTCGCAGGTATACAGTAGAGGGCTTCTGGTTTGATTTATCCCATTTTACATCTGCCACTACATTCATATCCCCTGCTATTAATAGTTTCCCTTTCTCAATTTTATTTACAATTACTAAAATTTTCTTGAAAAAATGCTGAGGATATGTGTCAAAGTGGTTATATTTTCATTAATTTTGCAAACAATAATAAGATACCTGCTTTCTGTATCTTTTTGTTCGAATATCAGTTTAAATTTTATTCTATCAGAAATTAATATCTTTTTTTTTTTTATTATTAAAGCTGGAGGTAAAGATAATGGAATATTTATTGCATTTCCATTTTTGTGTGTCTCCTTCCCTCCAATGAGTCTCCTGGACAAAACATATATCTACTTTCTCTTTTGTAATTGTATCATATAGATATCACCTTTTCTGAAATAAATTTTGACCTTGGGAATTTATTGATAGCACCTTAATAGTCAAGGTTTATATCTGCTAATAAGATTCTATTATTGCTATGGCGGCCTCTGGCACCCTACCCACCCCATCCTCCTCCAACGGTGTCCTGTCAGCACACATTCATACATACCACTGCCTTTCTTACCATTCATACTTCAATCCTAGTAAATTCTAGGCTATTCTCTAGCAATAAAGAAATATATTCTAAATCTAGTGCTAGGTTACAGTTGCTGGCACGATCTTGGGCAATTAATCTAAAAGGTGTGTTGAGCTTATGGCAGCTAAAATATTTTAAATGTATTTTGATGTTAATAAATTACCTATTACTACCAATATTTACTAAGTACTTAAATTAGTCCTTATTCCTATATTGGTAGCTTAATTTCCCCAATTATCTATAAAGGCCTATAACCTTCTTAGGGATTTGATCCATATAATCTTTCCCTCTCGTTCTTAATTATATAAATTCAAATCCCTCCATGAGTGATACTCCCCATTTTTCTTTAAAATTTAACATTTTTCAACCCAAACTTTGTTCTCCCATTTTCTCAGAACAATTCCTTTTCTCTCTATTTTATTTATTTTCCCTTAATTGTTATTATTAAAAGAGGATTTATATTAGAATGATATTTTCACTCAAAAAAAAAAATTGGAAATTAAATTAGATTTTCAACTAGAAATAGGGGATATATCACTATTATGCTTATATATTTAAGTGTAACATTGTTCTAGTTGGTTATTTTAGTTTTGACATGAGAGAGAATGAGCTTGCCCTTGTGTACTAAAACCTTCTAAATTCCCCTAAGTGTCACTTATTCCTTATATCTTTGTAGTATAATTAGTTTCTTATATTAATTATCGCCTTTTTTTGTTAATATTACTTTGTTAGTGCTTCTTCTATTACTAAATCCCCAAATGTTGATCCCTTGGTGCTTATAGTTTCACAGGTCCTTTAAGTAAATGTTATGTTTGTGCTCAAAGAAATATGCTACTTCTAGTGTATAATTACGAGAGAAAAATTTTAAAAATATATATAAAAATGTATACTGTGAAATTAGTTGTGCATATTCTTAATCCCCGTTTTTATTCCTTGTTTTATCCCTTCTACAAATTCCTATTATGTTCCCTTTCTTCAATTTTCCCTTTCCATTAAGTTGTATGTGTTCCCCTGTTCTTCTTGTTTACTCATTCCTCCTGTCTCTAACTAATCCTTTGTCATTTTCTTTACTTCCTTATTGTTACACTTTCCTTGATCTTCCCCTTTTCCATTTTTACTCATAACAATCGTGGCTTAAAGTGAAATCCCCATTTTCATTAGGTCTTCGGATGGATCTTTTATTATGATAGTCCTATCGCCTTGAAAAATCAAACGTTTAGTGGGAAAACCCCATATGTATGGGATATTTTTGTCCCTTAGTATAATAGTCATATCTCTGAATCGTTTTCGACTGTTTCTTGTTGCTAATGAAAGATCTGGGAAGGTGGAGATCATAGAGAATTTTGGGTCCTGAGGCTTATTATAGTGTATTTTCCTAATCAAGGCATCTTTTAATGCACAGTTCAAGAATCGCACGTTCACATCTCTGTTTTTTTGTATATTATCTGGCTTTCGAATTCTATGATATCTCTCAAATGGTGCTGATCCAATTTCCTGTGGGTCTAAAAATTGAGCCATATATTCCTTTAATTACTGCTCTAATTTCTCTAATTTAATTTCTATTTGGTATTCCTTTAATCCTTAAATTGTTTCTCCTTGATCTGTCTTTAATATCAATAGTTCGGATTTCTAATTGCTTTACCTGATTCTTTAGAATAGAATTCTGAGTTTGGAGTAATTTGATTTCTTCTCGTGTGTCTTTTAAAGCGCCATTTTGCGCTATTATTTTCTTTTTTAAGTCCAGTACCTCTGATTTTAAATCTGATATATGAGACTTAAAGTCATTGTGAATTTTTCCATATAATTCTGGGCCCCAGGAGGTCTCACGTGGCCCCACGTGGAGCGGCGAAACTGCCGCAGGTGCATCTGCACCGGGGCCCATCCGATGGCCCAAGCATTTAGGGCCACCCGATGAGCCCTATATCTTCAGGGGCCCGGTCAGCGCTGTAATAGCGCGACCGGGCCCCTTTAAAGAAAAAAAATGCGGCTGCACCGCAAATGCTGCTGGGAGGAAGTGACGGCCGGTCACTACCTCCCAGCTTACTCCTTGCGGGGGGAGAGACAGCCGAGCAGAGGAAAGGAGAGCAGAGGCATCCGCTCCCATCATCCCCAGCCACCCTCCTGCAACTTAAAGGTAAGGAATAGGAGAATGGCTGAAAAATGAGGTGTATGTCTGTATATGTGTATGTATATCAGAATGTATGTATGTGTCTGCATGTATGTATGTGTTTGTCAGTATGGATGTGTGTATATATATGTGTGTATCTATCTATCTGTCTATCTATGTATGTATGTCTGTCAGTATGTATGTATGTATATGTATGTATGTCTGTGTGTGTGTGTGTGTGTGTGCCTGTATGTATGCATATATCTATCAGTATGTATGTATGTCTGTATGTATGTGTGTATGTATATATCTATCTGCATGTGTGTGTATATCAGTATGTATGTGTGTCTGTATGTATATCAGTATGTATGTGTATGTATGCCATTATGTATGTATGTATGTCTGTTTGTATGTCTGTATGTCAGTTTATATGTATGTCTGTTTGTCAGTATGTATGTGTGTATGTCAGTATGCGAGTATGTATGTACATCAGTGTGTATGCGTATCTCCTTATGCGTGTGTGTGTGTCTGTATGTGTCTGTATGTGTGTGTGTGTCTGTTTCAGTATGTGTGTGTCAGTATGCCTGTATGTGTGTATGTCTGTTTCAGTATTTGTGTATTTTTTTTGTGTGTGTGTCTGTGTCCTTTTGTGTCTGTGTGTGTGTATTCCTGTTGGTGGGATTTGGAGGCAGGGCTTGGAGGCGGGCACCCAGGGAGCCCAGACCTTGAGCTGTGTTAGGGGCCCCAAAATTTCTGATGGCGGGCCTAAATTCCTCTAATGCTTCAAGTAAATTTTCCTGAGACATTATTTTATTTTTAATAGATAGAGTTTTTTCTGTCTGTATAGAAGATGTAGAAGTCTCCAGTGAATTAGGAGATATTTATCTTCTATTTTGTTCTTTTTGTAATGCTGTGTTAGGTTTAGGTGAGAAAAAAGTACTGGTTGTGCTAGTTTTGATTTTTTTTCTGTTTTATATGTTTTATCAACCTTTTCTGTCTCATGTGTTTTCTCTTGTGATTTCTCTTTTTTAGGGACCTTTTTATTTTATTTTTTACTTTTGTGTATTACTCGAGATTCTCTGGTTTTAGCTATTGTCAGGAAAATGTTCCCCTTTTATGATTAGCTATATTAGTGTTATGACTTTTATAAGTCTATGCTATGACTCTTAGTTGTTTATGATTTGTTTTAACTGGTTGTTTATGATTTATGGTTAATACCAATTTTATAGGCCTTTTATTTGATGTTTGGATATTAGATTCTGGGGGTAAAATTTTTGCATCAGCCGTGCAATAAGTCCCTATATCTAAATATCATTCCACACCTCCATTACTTGTCAATAGGTAGAAACATTATAAAGAGAAACAAAAAATTCAGAGCTACGCTCGTACCCGCTCATGCCCGTGCTGACCACCACCCTAAAGCATTCTTAATGTGTGGGTATCCAGTCCAAGCTCCTTTGTGGGCTCAGAGCCGAGACCTGGGCTGAAGCTTTTGGGTGTCTTCGTTAGGTAGGCGTCCCTTGCTATACTCTGCTGTAGTGAGGTTTTGATTTCTCTTATTGCTGGGTGGTGTGCTGTTGTGCTTTACACAGTTCTGCCTTGCATTTGTCTAGTGCACGTTACAGGGTGTTGATGGATAGATGAGAAGAAAATAAAATTAGAAAGGAAAAAGAAAGGAACAAGAGGTACAAGCGATGAAAAAGAAACAGGCTGGGTTTGAACAGAAACTGGCGACCGTGGAAGACACAAGGCGCCGCACTAAACTTAAAATAAGAGGTATCCCAGAGGAGGTACCAACAGCAGAGTTACCGCACCTCATAAGAAGGCTGCTGGGAGCATTGCTGTCTACAAAGCAAGTCAGGCAAATTGCGGTGGATGGGGTATTCCGGATCCCGAAACCCAGTAGGGCCCCAGAAGAGGCGCCCAGAGATACAGTGGTGAAATTCCAAAGAAGCAGTGACAAGGCGACAGTACAAGAAGCACTTGAAGGACAGTCCCCATATGTATTTGAAGACATTTCCTTAACCTTTTACATCCCTGCAGGGGTTTACCACTCTCCTATGGAACAACAAAATCCAATACAGGTGGCGGATATCCCGCATGCTCCAAGTGCAACACAGAGAATCCTTCTACCCGGTCCATGACATACAGGAGGCATTGGCGCTCCTGGACACCATAGGCCTCCCACAGGATGCTCTGCAGAGTAATGGGCCTCGAGGGGCAACCGAACAGGCACACACATGGGACCCTGCAAGAAGCACTCCATTTGTCCCGCAACGAGCCCCACACGGAGCTTCTTTGGTTACTACCTGAGGCGAACTTCTCTCACACGTACCTGTTACCAAAGGGGTTCCGAGCCTTGACAGGCAGAAAACATCACCGTTTCTGTGACTATATTTTTTTGTTTGTTTCCTTTTGTTCATTACTTTCTGTTTTGTTGGTACCTGTTTATTTAGCACCAAGCTCCCCATAAGGACGATTCCTCTCTCCCCCTGCCTCCTCCACTCAATGGCCGTTAGACCTAGACCCACTCTATCTCGAAGTGAGGTGTAAAATTTTTCCATAGCAAGCTACCTCCAGACCTACTCACTAAAAACACTAGTAATGTAATTCGTAGCACTAGTCTCGCCCAGACCCCACCTGGAGCGGCGAGACTGCCGCAGGTGCATCTGCACCGGAGCCCATCAGGTGGCCCAAGCATTTAGGGCCACCCGATGGGCCCTATATCTTCAGGGGCCCGGTCAGCGCTGCACCGGGTAATTACGCGACCGGGCCCCTTTAAAAAAAATTTTTTAAATTGCGGCTAAACACCGCAAGTGCTGCTGGGAGGAAGTGACGGCCAGTCACTTCCTCCCAGCTTATTCCGCGCGGGGGGAGAGCGGAGGAGAGGACAGGGACACCAGAGGCATCCACTCACATCATCCTCAGCCACCCTCCTGCAACTTAAAAGTGAGAGGAGGGTGGCTGATAAATGAGGTGTGTGTGTGTGTCTGCAAGTCTGTCTGTGTGTATGTCAGTATGTATGTCTGTGTGTATGTCTGTGTGTATGTCAGTATGTATGTCCGTGTGTATGTCAGTATGTATGTCTGTGTGTATGTGTCTATCTGTATGTGTTTGTGTATGTCTGTATGTATGTCTGTCTGTCTGTGTGTCTGCAATTATGTATGTATGTCAGTATGCATGTATGTCTGTGTGTGTGTATCTCAATCTATCAGTATGTATGTCAGTATGCATGTATGTCTGTGTGTGTATATGTCAGTATGTCTGTGTGTATCTGTGTATGTATATATCTCTGTGTGTGTGTGTGTGTATGTATGTATGAATATCAGTATGTATGTGTATGTATGCCATTATGTATGTATGTCAGTATGTATTTAAGTTGTATGTATATCTGTTTGTCAGTATGTATGTGTGTGTGTCTTTATGTCAGTGTGTGTGTGTGTGTATCTGTGTATGTATATATATGTATCTATATGTATGTCTGTTTCAGTATTTGTGTCTGTTAGTATGTGTGTATCTTTCTGTGTGTGCGTCTGTGTCCTTTTGTGTCTGTGTGTGTGTATTCCTGTTGGCGGGATTTGGAGGCGGGGCTTGGAGGCGGGCACATGGGGGCCCAGACCTTGAGCTGTGTTAGGGGCCCCACAATTTCTGAGTCTCGCTACTAACCACTAGATGTCCCCATTATTTATGAAGGGCGAAAGCAGCCTCCCCAGCTAGCAAGATACTCATGGAAGTACCCAACACACATACTCACATACCCGGTACATCTGATAAACAGCACCAAGCGCCCGAGTTTCTTTTATTTATTTTTTTCCTTCAGGGATCTTGTTTGATGCACAAATTCACAGCCCAGGTAGCTTCTTACCTGGTTACCATGGGTTGTGTTTATCTGCAAGGGTAAGCAAACATCTCTGCACTTCGGACTCCAGCCAAAGTAAGACTGTGATAGCCATGCATTTTATGGTGTGTCTGGGCACAACAAGTATCTTACTTGTGCACTCCTATGGACTAGAGGTAAATGTACTTTGGTAAACTTGTCATCTTTGCAATGTCTGGATGGCAGGTTCATTTTTATGCATTGCCATGCTATTGTAACTAGTTAAGTCATCTTTTAAAAAGTAAAAAGGAGTTTTTGTTGCTATATCCAAACCTGTTGGACCAGAGACAAAAAGGTCAATGTGGTGGTACCACCCCACCTGAGGGCTTGGACCCTAGAACTACAATTTTATAAGTAGAGAGGGAATGACCCCATAAGGGGGAGATTAAGTACTGGTATATGTACATGAAAAAAACAGAAAAATAACTTTCTTAGAGACAATTCATATGTATAGGAGGATTAATGTCCCATGTATCCAAAAATAGTAACTTTATTACACCCATATACAATAAAGATACAATGTGGACTGCGGCTGGGTAACAGAAATAAATATATAAGACAGCCACTCCACACTCGATCCTTGTGTTTGGTCAAACAATTTGGGTTACCAACATATCTAGCGAGCACTCAGTAAAAACCCAACATCATATATACTCCCCTTTAACAAACTAGGACTAATAACACGCCCTCCTGAACGCTGAAATATAGTTTTAGACTAAGGATTTTTAGGAGCTTCACAGAAATGTTATTAGGTAATGCACACTTAAAATCCTAGTTATAAAGAAACCTGTTGACTCCACATGTGTAACGTACTGTATTTATGATGTGCCCTAAACTGTCTAGTATACCATGTACTAACTGAGCAGACCAGAAATTACTGTTAAACCACAGACTTTCGTTATATTATTGTATCTGGAAAATCTGGTTGGGATCGATCGTCACTGTTGAATCTTCTTAATTTCTTCTTGTCTTCAGTTGATTGATATATATACGTCTTTTGTATATATAGTCTTGGGCCAAATTTGCTCGCAACATTAATATATGTCTATATTAATGAAAAGTACTAATACGCAATCTGACTTACGGTTTCATAATAAAACAACAAAGGACTGGACTCCTGAAGGGAGAGTTACATCCTTACATCTTTACATCGAGAGAGAGCCAGAGAGAGCCAAGAGCCAAGAGACCTTATGTCTCTTTGTTCAGTTACTATATAGAAGGGCCATAATGACGTCAGACTATAACTCTAGCCATATAAGGACAAAATCCCCAGAGCTCTCATACAAAGAAAGCCTTGTGAGTTATACCATCTGTTACTTATGTCAATCCACACATCCATATATAATCAATAGAAACATAGAATATGCAATATTCTACAGTATCACCACCATATGATGTACTATTCTTACCATATTCATGTTCAATGTTTAATGCAAATCTTTCACACTTTTTGTGTCTCACACTGTGCCCACCAATCAGCACATGCAAAACTAAAATTTTACAGCACGAGTTCTTTACCTGCCAATTTTTTTTTTAAAAGTTACAAATTAACATAGCTCTGTTTAGGCTTGCTAGTTTAAACTGGATTTTGTTAACTTCATCCAGCAGTGCTGTATATGATACTTCTGGGTCTTAAACCCATAGCCTGATTTTCTGTCTAGCTGCACCTTTGTCAGGGGCGGACTGACCACTCGGGCACTTCGGTCATGGACCGAGGGCCCGAGGCAGTCAGGGGCCCGACTGCACAGCCATGCTCCAGCTGGAGAGATCAGAGATCTCTCCAGCTGGAACGGCAAAATAATAAAATAAAACTTTTTAATTGATAGGTTGTGGGGCCCCTGATGCAGCGCGGGGCCCCACAACCTACCGTTTTGCTAGTCACCCCCCCCCACCCCCCATGAGACCTGGCAGCTTCAGCCACTCTCTACCAGGTCTCCTGCTTCCTCTCCCATGCAGCTCTGTGTGATGGGAGAGGCCAGGAAGTGACATCCTGTTTACTCCTCTCACACAGAGCCGAGAAGGAGCAGCAGGCAGGGAGAGAAGAGGGAGCAGAGATGCAGGTAGGCACCAATCACCCCCTCCCCCCTCACTCATCACTCCTCACAGTCACCCCCTCACTGTCACCAGTCACCCCCCTCACTGTCACTAGTCACCCCCCTCACTCACCAGTCACCCTCACTGTCACTAGTCACCCCCCACTGTCACTAGTCACCCTCACTGTCACTAGTCACTTCTACTGTCACTAGTCACCCCCACTGTCACTAGTCACTCCCCACTCTGTCACCTCACGTTACTAGTCACTTCTACTGTCACTAGTCACCTCTACTGTCACTTCAGTCCTCACTGTCACTAGTCACTTCCTCACTGTCAATACTAGTCACTCTCACTGTCACTAGTCACTTCTTACTGTCACTAGTCACCATTGTCATTTCTTGTCACTCTACTGTTACTAGTTACTTCCTCACTGTCATTAGTCACTTTTCATATAGTTTTCACTGTCATTAGTCACTACTGTTACTTGTCACTTTTCACTGTTGCTAGCAGTTTTCACTGTCATTGTCAGTTTCTTTCAAATGGGTTTTCTGTCATTTTCACTAAGTCATTAGTCACCTCACTTCTAGTGAAGAGTGGGAGGGAGGTGACTAGTGACAGAGAGAGGGAGGGGTGACTAGTGATGAGAGAGGGAGGGGGGATTCAAGTATTGTGAGGGAGTGGGGGTGACTTAGTGACAGAGTGGGAGGGAGGGTGTCACTAGTGACAGAGAGGAGGGGTGGCTGCGACAGTGAGGAGGGGGTGACTAGTGACAGAGTGAGGGAGGGTGTCACTATGACAGAGAGAGGGAGGGGGTGACTAGTGACGGTCACCACCTCCTTCACTCTGTCACTAGTCACCCCCTCCCTCACTCTGTCACTGTGTCACCCCCTTCCTCACTCTGTCACTAGTCACCCTCTCTCTCACTCTGTCACTAGTCACCCCCTCCCTCACTCTGTCACTAGAGTGAGGGGGTGACAGAGTGAGGGAAGGGGATGACTGGTGACAAAGTGAGGGAGGGGATGACTGGTGACAGAGTGAGGGAGGGGGTGACTAGTGACAGAAGAAGGGAGGGAGTAGTGACAGAAGGAGGGAGGGAGTAGTGACAGAGGGAGGTGGTGACTAGTAACAGTCACCACCTCCCTCACTCTGTCACTAGTCACCCCTTCCTTCCCTCACTCTGCCACTAGTAACCCCCTCACACTAGTGACAGAGTGAGGGAGTGACAGGTGACAGAGTGAGTGACTAGTGACAGAGTGAGGGAAGGGGTGACTGTCACTAGTCACCCCATCCCTCTGTCACTAGTCACTCCCTCCTAACTCTGTCACTGTGTCACCTGCTCCCTCACTCTGTCACTAGTCACCCCCTCCCTCACTCTGTCACTAATCACCCCCTCTGTCCTTAGTGACAGAGTGAGAGAGGGGGTGACTAGTGACAGCGTGAGGGAAGGGGTGACTGTCACTAGTCACCCCATCCCTCTGTCACTAGTCACTCCCTCCTAACTGTGTCACCTGCTCCCTCACTCTGTCACTAGTCACCCCTCCCTCACTCTGTCACTAATCACCCCCTCTGTCCTTAGTGACAGAGTGAGAGAGGGGGTGACTAGTGAGAGTGAGGAAGGGGGTGACATAGTGAGGGAGGGGGTGACTAGTGACATAGTGAGAGAGGGGGTGACTAGTGACATAGTGAGAGAGGGGGTGACTAGTGACAGAGTGAGGAACGGGGTGACACAGTGACAGAGTTAGGGAGGGAGTGACTAGTGACAGAGAGAGGGATGGGGTGACTAGTGACAGTCACCCCCTCTCTCACTCTGTCACTAGTCACACCCTCTCTCACTCTGTCACTAGTCACACCCTCTCTCACTCTGTCACCAGTCATCCCTTCCTTCCCTCACTCTGCCACTAGTCATCCCTTCCCTCACTCTGTCACCAGTCACCCCTTCCTTCCTTCCTTCACAATGACAGAGTTAGGGAGGGAGTGACTAGTGACAGAGAGAGGGATGGGGTGACTAGTGACAGAGAGAGGGATGGGGTGACTAGTGACAGAGAGAAGGATGGGGTGACTAGTAACAGAGTGAGGAAGGGGGTGACTAGGGAGAGAGGGGGTGATTAGTGACAGAGTGAGGGAGGGGGTGACTAGTGACAGAGGGAGGGGTAACACAGTGACAGAGTAAGGGGGTGACTAGTGACAGAGTGAGGGAGCGGGTGACACAGTGACAGAGTTAGGGAGGGAGTAACTAGTGACAGAGAGAGGGATGGGGTGACTAGTGACAGTCACCCCCCCTCACTCTGTCACCAGTCATCCCCTCACTCTGTCACTAGTCACCCCTTCCCTCCCTCACTCTGCCACTAGTCACCCATTCCCTCACTCTGTCACTAGTCACCCATTCCCTCACTCTGTCACTAGTCTCCCATTCCCTCCCTCTGTCACTAGTCTCCCCCTCTCCTTCCCTCTGTCACTAGTCACCCACTCCCTCACTCTGTCACCAGTCACCCCCACTCACTGTGTCTCCCCCTCACTCTGCCACCACTCAACCCCTCCCTCACTCTGCCACCAGGTACCCCCTCACTCTGCCACCTGTCACAACCTCCCACACTCTTCCACCTGTCACCTTCTCCCTCACACACTCTGTCACCTGTCACATATGCATTCACACAGACACTATATACAAAAAAGCACATGTAGTCATCCAGACATGCACAAGTGCATTCACACAGACTCAAATACAAACATGCATTGATACACAGGTCTTCACAATACACACATCCAAAGGAATGCCGTATTATGAATTATATTTAACATTTATTAAAATGCACATATATTTGGCCTTCAAAGGGCCTGGGATCTAATTTTGCCCGGGGGCCCCAAAGGCTCTCAGTCCGCCCCTGACCTTTGTTATTAGATTTAAACTGCCAGCGCTTTCCTTTCTTCCTACACTAAATTTATAGGTCAAACATAATGGCTTATTCTAGTAGATAGAGAGTGGAAAGAAAAAGAAAGGACTTTGAGTACACTAGAAATATGTAGTACAGGTGATAGGTGTAACAGTACTTACTGTTTGTGGGCTTATTCCCACATACAAAAAACATTCTGGTGTAATTTTTTTTGAAATATCTACAGTTTCACTATTTTTAAAAATGCTTTATTTTCATTCAACAGATAATATGACATAGAATCCAAGTATTCATTGGACAATCTAGTATTTAAAAATGTCCTCTTTGCAGAATGAATAAACCCATCTTCCACCAAGATTGTGCAATGCAAACTGTCACATACTTTTTAAGTTTAACAATATAAAACAGGTCAAGATCAATAGAAACTCATTTTTTATTTTGGGCCAATGTTGACAAGACTGTTGCAACTTTTAATGCCCTTTTTGGACAGCCGTGCCCTATGTCTCTCAGGCGGACTTCTCATCTGTACATTCTTGGGAAATAAGAACTTAATGGAGAAGAAGAGTAAGAGAGACAAAATAGTAAGTTATTTTTGTGAGGAGGGTTATTAAGTGCGCTGCGGGCCTGTCAACAGGTTGTGATGTTACCATATTGATAGACACTTGTATTACACAGCTGGGGTGAGTGGTCAGTGTAGAAACAAGCATAAAGAGGCCTTCGGAGCAGAGATAATCAGACAGCTGTCCGAGCAGGATGGGACCAATAACCATATTTTTGAATGTGTTTTTGACTGTTTTTATCTATCTACCAAATGAGGCAAATTATGATATTTTTGCTTATTTGCTTATATTTCTTATACATAAGAAATATATAGTTATATAGTTCATTGTGAATTATTCAAGGGATACAACATTTGTAAAATGTTGAAATTAAATATATATGTATATTTACATTGGTATCATTTTGATCTTTTAGGTATCCTTAGATCACGATCTATACATAAACTCGTCCTATGTTTACTCCTTTTGCTAAGTGTTTGGTTTTTTTCTATAATCGAATACTTTTTTAAATTTTTTTTTAGTTTTCATGTTACATTTTGGGAATTACATGTGTGCTGTGGCGGTCTCGCACAATTAAATATTATAGATTCAACCCTTGAATTGCCTCTTTTATCTCTTTTTTTAGCAGCATGTTACAACACACATCACAATAGGATACTGCTGTTTTTCTCACAAGTGAATGATTGAAGGGCGTTTTCCTGTTTTTTTTTTTTATATTTCATATAGACATGTAACAAATGTAAAAAGCAGTCATTAGGGAACATGTAGACAGCAAATGCCTTGTGTAAAGGCAGCGAGATCTATAAGCATGTCAGAATCACAGACAGAATATTAATACTGTTTATGATGTAAAAGGAGAGCATATATATATATATATATATGTAACACAAAAAGCTTGGTTTAATATCATATTATATGCTTGCAACCAGCATTTCATTCATCAGTATTTTTACACTCATATGATTTCATTAAAAGAGATGTTTTTTTTTTTTTCATTTTCATTAGGTATTTTATTCTATTTAGATTTTTGTTGCAGTTTTAGAATAAATATGCATTTGTCAACCGTGAGTACATCCCTCGCTTCCTTTTCCCAGTTCATTCTCCACTTCCAGTTTTCAGTTCTTCTATACAGATTAAGTTTTATTTGACAGATTACTCTATACATATACTAGATTAAGTTTAGGGTGGTCATAAGGTAGACTACTCCAGTTATTATAGGTAGTTTAAATAAAGCTGTAATTGTTTGAGAGGAACCCACTAATTGTAAACCCTGATTTAAGTAGATGCCTTGGCAACTCTGCCCTCAATTTTCCTTTAGTAATACTCATGTTATTTCCTTTCATCACCTCACATAGTCTACTATGTTCCACTGATCTATGCCTTGAATGATTTTTTTTTCTAGTTACTCTTGGTATTTTCATTCTTTATCATGATCAGCCTTACTAATAGGATCTCCCCTAATTTTTCTCTTACACTTCCCTTGTTCCACCTGTTCCCCTCCATTTCTCTACGACAGCCCACCCCTCCCCCCCTCCACCTCCCTCATTTGCCTTTATCTTGTTGGTTACTTCTTTTTCACTCTTATACATTATATAATTGTATACATTATATACTTTGAACTCATTCTATTTTGTCATTTATATTTTAATATTTGCTGTCATCACTATTGAAGGTACTATTATTGCATGGTCTACTAATGTATTTAATCATATAGACACACAGTAATTAGCTACTAGACGTTCATTTGTTGGTTAAGCAGTTTTAACCTATAGAATCTGCCAGTCTTTACATTTTTGTGAATACATCTTTTATCAATCAAAGTACAACTATAGATTTTGTTAATGTAGACTTGTACTTCATAGGTCCCCTGTTATGTGTCTAATTGTATGTGGATGTGTTCTCCAAGTTAAAAGAAGCCTTCATGTTTTGAGTCAGTTGAACTAGTTATTTACTCGGCTATTAACATGATTTCTACAAATCAAAAATCCAAACACGTTGTACTCCAGTGCCAATACAGCACATTATAATAATCCACTAAAGGATAATCAGATAATATCTAAAAATGAACCAGAACAAACATTAATTTTCTGATGGTCGGTGTAATGGGAGAGTACTCATTATTGTTTCAGTTTAACTACGCAAGTGAAATAAAAAAGTTACTACGCACTCATAAAATAGATATGTTACTACGCAGTTAGAATTACAGAAATAGAAAACAGGAAATAAGACCAACGCTCTGAAACAAGAAACTGTATAGCTCTGTCTAGGGGTATATTCACTAAGCATTGTTTCCCTCCTTCGTTCACAAAGTGAACGCATATAGTCATAGTGGGAATAATACCTATCCCTTGTCAGTGAACTAGGGTATAGGATTACCAGTCCACCGGGTGATCTGGGGCCAGGTAAAAAACCCAGTGGCAAAAACCCATATTGGTATCTGACCCTCTGCCTGTTCCATGGTCTTTGAAGCGTGCTGCCTGACCTGACCCCTGGCTTTCTTCAACTACAAATTTGTTTTTTTCTTTGGTTCTTAGCCTTGGCTGATTCCTGCCTCTTGGACTCCTCCCGTCAAATACATGACAGACATAACACTTACACACGGGTTTATGACCCTATGCTACAATGTGGATCCATAGGAAGATAGGCTATAAAGTGTGTCTTTATCCTGTACAGCAGAGGAGCTACTACTATGAAGAAAGAGAGAAAAGGGATGTATGTTTATAATTTTGCAAACATATTTAAAGTAGTAATACAACCAGATAAAGATCCAAAGATATTAGCGAATTACCGGCCCATATCTCTTCTAAATGCAGATGTTAAGATTAATGCTATGATTAAAGCGTATCGCCTAAAAACCTGTATTTCAGACTTGATACAACAGGATCAGGTTGGATTTATTCCAGGAAGAGTAGCAGCAGGTGGCCTTAGCAGTGGCGGATCCAGGGGGAGGGGGCAACTGTAGATTATTTAAAGAAATAATCCAGGCACAATAACCACTACAGCACTGCGCCTTAGACGGGTTTTGGATGTCCATGATGCAGCACAAAGGATGAATGTCTCTCTTCTGACCCTGTCATTGGATGCTGAGAAAGCCTTCGACAGGGTCAGATGGGATTTTCGGAGCAATACTCTGATGGCGTATGGCCTAGTAGAGGCGGCCTAGAGTTCTCTCCTACCACTGGGACCACCAGAGAATCCCCACTGGACCACCAGGGATCCAGAAATGCCCCCCTCCTCCTCAATTAAGGTAAGAAGGGAGGGGGGGACATAATTAATATTTATATTATTAAATAAAAATAAACATTATTTAAAAGCCTCCCTACCCTCCTCTCCACACACACACACTGCAAACCCATAGACACATTGCCCCACACACACTACTGCCCCACAGGCACATACAGTGCCCTACACACACTGCTACCCCCCCATACACACACTGCCCCACACATACATACAGTGCCTCACACACACATACAGTGCTCTATGTATTTTTTAATTATTTATTTTTAATTATTTTTTTAATTTTATTTTTTAACGTATTTACATATTTATTTTTTTATATTATACCCATGGCCTGTGTCTTACTGATGTTTAGTTTATAATATGAGCAGTTGCCAAACTGCGTTAATATATTTTGGAGCATTGGGAGGGAAGTTTCGGGTCTAGAGAGGGTGAGCATGACATCGTCAGCGAAGAGAGTAATTTTATGTGTTCTCCCTCCTATGCATATCCCATGGATGTCTTGTGAATTCCTTATGTGTTGGGCAAGTGGTTCTAATGCTAGTATGTAAAGTAGGGGAGATAACGGACATCCCTGCCTAGACCCGTTTGAGATATGAAATGGTTTGGAGGTGAAGCCTCTGTTGGATATATTTGCTGTTGGGTTATCGTAGAGTGCCGATACTAGGGTAATAAAGCATTCAGGGAATGCAAACTTCCGAAGTGCTGTTTTTAGGTAGCTTCAGTGTAGCCTGTCAAATGGGGTTCCCCAGTTTTCTGTATCGTATGAAGGATATTGATCAATTTCCTGGTCCCGTCCGAGCTTTGTCTGCCTCGGTCAAACCCCACCTGGGGTTTTGGCATGATGTTCCCGAGCCTATTTGCGTAAATTTTGGCCAGTATTTTTAAGTATGTGTTTAGCAGCGATATGGGACGCAGGTTTTGGCATCTATTGGGTGGTTTCCCCGGTTTTGGTAGTGTCGTTATATGAGCTAATAGCATTTCTCTAAGTATGACACCGGTAGTCAATATATGGTTATATAATTTTTCTAATTGGGGGGTCAGCAAGTTCGAGAAGGTTTTGTAATATATATTTGTAAACCCATCTGGACCAGGAGATTTCCTCTTTGGGAGTGTTTTGATTGTGAATTCAATTTCTTTTTGAGTGATAGGTTCTACCAACAAGGACTGGTCTGTCTGCGTAAGTTGCGGCAGTTGGGCATCTGTTATAAACGAGTCTATTTCTACTTGTAGTGGTTGGTGTGTGTGTTTATCCTTCCGTAAGTTGTATAATGTGTCATAGTAGTCCGCCAACGTGTCATTTACCTCTTGTGGATTGTACAGTTTGTTTCCCATGGGGTTTATGAGATATGGAATTTTTGCATTTTGTCTTTTCGTAAGAGCTTAGCTAAAGTTCTCCCTGCTCTATTACCTTGTGTATATGTTGTCAGTTTTAGCTTATGTGTCATCAGGGCCGTAGCTCGCAGGTGCTTATCATTCAACTTCTCTCTGAATTGATCTATGCGTTGTTGTGTGGAGGGGGTCGGGGCCTGATTTTGCGTAAGGGTTTTGTGACGAGACCAATCTCGCCAAATTGCATTGGAGAAGCCTGGTTGCTCGCCTGTTGCCTTTGGATTATGGCCCCATGTTAAAAGGCTTGATTTTCCCCTGCAAAGACATGAAAGCCGGGTCATTTGGTGCTTGCCCTGTTTGAGCGGTGATACCCCAGATAGCTATGCCATGGAGCCCATTCGTATAATGAAAGACTATGGGAAAGACTTTGGCTTCATGGCAATTGAACTGTATGTATGTGCTCTGAGCGCCATTCAGTAATAATGTGGGCTCAGATCTGAGCTATATGGGGATATGTTGAATGTACCTGTTTTGTGCAATGGCTGCACAGTTATATGTTTTATTGTCTTTTGCTGCCATGTGTTCAATGGAGTTTTGCCTCTGTCTTTGGAGATAATTGGATTACTTCCCAATTATCTCCAGGATAGAAGACTCTGTGGAACTGGTTTTGGGCAGAAAAGCCATGCTTCCTTTGGTCACAAAGGACTACGATCTATCTTTTGGACCACTGCTTGACCCTCAACACGGAGCCTTGTCTCGTCTTTGGGGGGATTTACTGAATGCTGATAGAGACTGACTGCTAGGAGTGTAAGCCGCTTGGATGCTTTTCCTATTCGTCTGCTAGCAGCTATTCGTATGGTTCCAGTTCGTGTGTTTGGTATATTGTATGCCGTTCGGGAGTTTGGAGCATTCCCTTATTTGCGGTTCGGGAGTTTGGTGTTCAACAGTAGCTGTGCCTGCATCTCTGAAAGAGGACGATCGCCTAAACGGTTTTTACCCCTTGTGTGCAAAACGGTCCGTTACAGGTTTCATCTCTTAGGGACCTCAAAAGAGTAATGTACTCTTGTTTCGACTGTTTATTTAGGTATGACGCTTGACTGATCAACAGGCCTCTGATGACCGCTTTATGTGCCTGCCATAGCGTGGCCGATGATGCGTCAGGAGTATCATTTAAAGTAAAGAAAGAGGTTATCTCCTCCGTAAGTTTGGTTTTCAGGTCTGAGTTGAGTAGAAGATGTTCATTAAGACGCCATGGTGTCATCCCTCGTGATGGGAAAGTATCCCTTAAGGTTAGTTGTACTGGGGCATGATCAGACCATACTATATACCCTATCTCACTGTGCATAGCTTTCGGTAGTAAGTCTCCCGAGATGAATATGAAATCTATTCTGGTATATGTTTTATGTACTAGTAAGTCTCCCGAGATGAATATGAAATCTATTCTGGTATACGTTTTATGTACTGGGGAGTAGAATGTAAATTCACGGTCATTTGGGTGGTGTGTTCGCCAAATATCATATAAATTATATTCTGAGAGGAGTTTCATAATGATTGCGGCTTGCTTCCCCAGAGTTTTGCATCTGGGGGACGATTCTGATAATGTGGTATCCAGTCGGGCCTGTAATATATGGTTTAAGTCCCCACATATAATCGTGGCTGTCTGGAAAACAGTAGGGAGTTTGGATAACACCTTCTGCAGGAAATTCCTTTGATTATCATTTGGGCTATATATTCCCACCAAATTGTATAGAACATTATTGAGCTTACATTGTAGTATAAGGTATCTGCCCTGCGTGTCTTTCTTGATGTGTAAAAGTTCGAAGGATACTGTTGCGTGTATGAAGAAAGAAACGCCTCTTGATTTGGAAGAATAAGTCGAGTGGTATTGCGTGGGATAGTCTCTAGTAGCGAAACTAGGTACCCTGTTATTAACAAAGTGTGTCTCCTGTACACATAAAATGTCTGACTGCATATTTTTTGCCTCCTCCACAATAAGTCTCCTTTTGTGCGGAGTATTTAGTCCGTGTGCATTAAAGGTTTGTAATTTCATATTTTAGTAGGGCAGTATGATTGGCTGATGTGGGCTATAGATAAATACCAGTGTTTTACTCCATAATAGGCGAGTGGGTCTTGGCAGTGGAGTATGCTTGAAGCCTGGTTACTTAAATGATGTGGTTTCTTGTGTGAGTTAAGAAGTGGCGACATAGAAGCCTTTGCTGTGTGTTTCTTCTGTGGGGTCATGACCGACTTAGGGCAGGGTTGGGCTAAAGGGGAGAAACTTGGAAGGGGTAGAAAACTATATACAAGGTGTCTCTCAGAGATGTCATGTGGGTATACCACATCTGGGGGAATATAGGAAATTGTTCCCTCCATTAATGTGGCTGAATGCACCTCTCGTTTTATTGTAAAGCGCCGCAGTCTACGTGGCTCAGTGGTTACTGGCCTAGCTGTGGTGGTTAGCCTGAGCCTGTTAGTATTATAGTAGTCTGGGCATTCAGCTGACTCCTGACCTTGCCTTGTTCTGCAACCTCTTTGGGGTCACGTTAGCTTGTTGGTCCAGATTTATGTGTGTCCCGGGGTATATATATGTGTCTATATGCGCGGATTTAATGTGTGTTTCTGGGAAGGGTAATACATCATGTATAGTCCCTAATGATCATGGTAACATTAAGCAATTAGACAATCAGCGACAATCCTCCGTTGTAGCAAGGGCCCCGGAGGACAGCCGATACATCTTGTTTCTGGGCTGGATTATGTGTGGATCGCGTTCTCTGCTTACCAGAGTCCAGCTGGTCTCAGTGTTTCCCATGTGCTTTGTTCCAATCCGCATTTAGTTTCCCTGCTGGCAGTGCGGGTGAGATTTTGGTTCTACTTTTAGGTCCCAAGCCTGTAGATGTTTCAATCCTTCTTCTGGGGTAGTTATAACTGTAGTTGCCCCGTCCTTGGTAACTACTAATTTAGTGGGGAATCCCCATTTGTACTTCATTCCATTCGTTCTTAAAGTAGCAGTAATTTGATGAAATTCTTTCCGTTTTTTTCAGCGTTGCGGCCGACAAATCTGCATAGATTTTGATCGTGGAATATTCCATAGGTGGTTTGGCTCTCAGCCTGCTGCCTCTGAGGATATGTTCTTTTACATGAAAATAATGTGCCTGCAATATTACATCTCTGGGCGTCGTTTGTGGGAGGTGTCGGAGTTTAGGAATGCGGTGAACCCGGTCAACCAGCAACATATCCGCCGGTATCTCAGGAGCGTAAGCGTGTAGAAGGTTTCGTACATTTGCCGGTAAGTCCGCGCTGGTAATGTCTTCTGGGACGCCCCTCAGCCGTAAGTTATTTCGGCGGGATCGATCTTTCAGATCTGCTAGCTTCCCCTCCAGGGTGTCAAGTCTGGCCGCTATATGTTCCACATTTGTGGCTAGGTCGTTGTGGGCCGTCGCGAATTTGTCGCATTTATCCTCCATGTGGGACGTCCTTCTGCCTAGTTCCTGGATGTCTTTCCTCATGGAATCCGCCATGTGTTGCCAAGATGAAATCAATTTGTTAGAAAAGGCTTCCAAGGCAGATGTACGATCCGCTTTTGTGATTTGAGTGTTGTCTGTAGGTAGCGTTAGGTCACAGCTGAGTGCTCCGCTATCAGATTCGGTGTCCCCGTCCGGGTTTGAGGCCTGCGCAGCCAGAGTCGCAGAAATTTGTTTCTGGCTGAAAAAATTGAGCTTGTCCGATTTCAGCGAGCTCTTCTTACTTTTGTGATGGGACATTGCTTTGCCGCCGTGTTAGATGGAGCTCTGGTGGTCAGGATTGCATGAGATTAGGTGCCTTCGTGTCGGAGCAAGTTTTCATGCGTCCATCTTGCTCCGTGGCTAGCCACGCCCCACCCAAATGGAAGATTTTAGTCATAAAGAAAGGTTGACAGATTTAAATTTTTGTAGTTTAGAAAACTGGCACCTAAGAGGGAATATGATAGCATTATTCAAATGTCTTCAGGGTCAATACAAACCATTGTCTGGTAATCTATTCAAAAGACATGAGTTCACACATTTAGACTGGAAGAAACGAGATTTAGTCTAAGACAAAGGAAACGGTTCTTTATAATAAAAACCATAAGGATGTTTTCTGCCTAAAGATGTGGTTTCATCAGAGTATGCACATATGTTTAAACAGCAACTGGTTGAATTCTTGCAAAAACATAATATTCAGGGATATAATTTTTAATGTGTGAGCTAATAGCTTCTTGATTCAGGAGATATATGACTGCCATTAAAGGGTGGAGAAGGATTTTCTTCCTAATTTGTTGCAGAATTTGAAAACTCTTCAACCTGGGTTTTTGCCTTCTCTTGGAATAACAGCAAAAACAGATGTGAGAAAGGTTGAACTAGATACACACAAATCTTTTTTCATTCTATATAACTGTGTAACTACTCTGTTAGATGTTCTTGTTTGACCTTTAGGTCTTCTCTTAAAGGACCACTATTGGCACCCAGACCACTTCAGCTTAATGAAGTGGTCTGGGTGCCAGGTCCAGCTAAGGTTAACCCTTTTTTTTATAAACATAGCAGTTTCAGAGAAACTGCTATGTTTATAAATGGGTTAATCCAGCCTCTAGTGGCTGTCTCATTGACAGCCGCTAGAGTGCTTCCGCGCTTCTCACTGTGAAAATCACAGTGAGAAGAAGCCAGCGTCCATAGGAAAGCATCATGAATGCTTTCCTATGGATTGGCTGAATGCGTGCGCAGCTCTTGCCGCGCATGCGCATTCAGCCGAAGAGGAGGAGAGGAGGAGGAGAGCTCCCGGCCCGGCCCTGGAGAAAGAGGTAAGTTTAACCCCTTCCTCTCCATCCAGCCCGGTGGGAGGGGGTCCCAGAGGGTGGGGGCACCCTCAGGGCACTATAGTGCCAGGAAAATGAGTATGTTTTCCTGGCACTATAGTGGTCCTTTAACACTGCCATGTTGTCATTGTGTTTTTCTATGATTGCTTGAACTTTTTCAAGTTCAGCAATCCTTTGGGTGAAATTGTAACCCTTTTAGTATGGACCAGCTATATCAGCTCTCCAAAGACAGATTGCTACTCTTTTTTCATATTTAATTTGAACAGGGAGGGTGGTTCTCATCCTTGGTGGGCAGATGGGATCTGTGTCCTGCTTCCTGATAAAATAACTCTTAATATATAATTAACACTCTTTTTGATTAGCTGAGAGGGGCCAACATTTTTGGTGGTTACATCCATCTATGGTTCTGTATCACGGGTCTTGTATCTTTGTTACACAGAGCATGTCAAAATGGTGACTTGATTGCACATGCCAAGTGAAAAATAATTTCATACACAATATGTAAGCTCTCAAATCATTTCTCCCAGAGTGGAAAGGATGTCTATGATCCTAAAAAGGATGTTTCAATGTCAAAATACCAAATAAATAAATAAAATCACAGTTTAGTAAATATACCCCAAATGAAAAAAAATCATGCATTTAATTATGCTTTTTTTTTTTTTTAAATGGGGCTATGTCTTAAAAACAGCTTGCAAAAGTTTCAGTTCTTTTGACTGCTACCTTTGCAAACCCTCCCTTCTTTCTTCGCACAGATATTCTGTGGCTGTCCAATCAAAGACTTCCAATGCAGCTCAATGAGAAGTCTTTACAAGGCAATTGCTTGTCTCTCGAGTTTAGTTCCACTGAGCAAAACAACCAGGAAATAACAGGACCTGTCGTATGCGTAAAAGCCATGGGGTGTAACAAGGTTAAAGGGCCACTATAGGCATCTCAATGAAGTGTGATGGGTGCCATGCTCCCCCACCCCCCATTATCTAAATGGCTACCAGGGAACTACAGTGTTACAAATACACATTTGTATTCTTAATGCTATAGTGTTCCTTTACTTTTTAAAAGTGCCCATTTCTAAATATGAAATATGCACTTTTTGTAAAACTAAAAAATACTACATACTCTTCATACATAATGCAGTTCAGCACACTAAAATTCTCGAGGGTTCTGGGGTGACCCTTTAAAGTTTTTCTGGTAATGCTGAGTTAAGGCTGGTTCCACCCCTCCCTTCATTTTCTCTTGTAAAGAAAGCAGCTAGGAATTAAATTTGTCTATTGTTTGCTAAAAAGAAGAGGTTTCTCTTTTATATTTTCCATAGCTTGCACTTCTTGTACTACATGTGTCCTTGTGACTGAGGCCTGTTCCAATGGGCACCACTTTAGCTCAACAACAGCATCTTTTTTGACCAGGGAGATGAACTTCACACACAATGCAAAAAATATATATATATAAAGGAATTAAAGATGGCTTAGACTGAGCATTGAATTCTGAATGAATTTTGAATCTATCTATTATTTTTGAAGATAAAGACACATTGGCAATATACAAATTTAACAATGACTAAGCTGCATAGTAATAGTAACTCCATTATTTATTTGTTGCATTCATATAATATATTTCTATCACATCTAGAATTGTTATACTCATGGTTTAATGCTTTGTTTAAAAGAGCATATGTTATGATGTGATATTTATGCAATGGTGTACATAGGTTACATGCCACCTGGAGAGGAAATGTATTTCATTAGGCATGTTTGTGTGTGTGCATAATACATACATAATCACGTGCGTGCGTTCATGCACACACACCTACATAATAGTCTGAAAAATCCCAGATATTGATTTAAACCTTTTAATTAAACCTATGAGAGAAAGAAAAAATGTATAGCACATCTGCAGAATAAACACACACTCATTAATGACACATGTTCATATTCATTGAACACACAAAGTGGCATACACACTAGGCATTACTTGCACAAACATATGTTTGGGGGGGTTGCTTATTGTTTCTGGACGCCATTGCACAGATGTTATATCACCCACATCTCCCCAAATTTTAATGGGTTTATGACATAAGAGCCCCGCTTGCATCCATCAAATGTTCTAATAAGGTTTGGCAATTTGGTTTTTCAACAACCTTCTTTCTTCTGCAACAACCTACTCATTCTTTATATCTAACTTTTCAGGGAGGTAAAAAAAGCAGAATTTTACTACACTTTCTTTTTATACCTTAGTACCTGTTATGTGCTTTTCTATACTCTATCTCATACATTTTGTACCTAAATGGTCATTTTGCTACTGTTACAAAAGGGACATTTACATTTTTAATGGGGAAATTAATATTGATTTGTAATCAAAATGTAATGCTGAGTTGTAGATAAGGAGCCGTCATAATGGAAAACAGAGGAATGAAAGATCCATTTGTTTTCCATGGTGATTGGCCCACTTTTAGAGTTTCGCACCACTTTTCTGATCAGTTGGAACCTCTTACTAAAAGGCATTTTGGTTCTGAACTGCCCTTACGGGTGAGATCAGTCTGATATGTAAATGGTATAGGTTCTATCTGTAATGGCACAATTGAGCACAAACATATTTGAGAGCTGAGCGGGGATTAACAGAAGGACAAGCTGCTGAGTTTCGCTGAGCTTTTGCCCATTGTCAGAGTTATCATACTCTCTTTTTGTTGCAATTCATTTGCTTGGACTTTTCCAATGATAAATGGGTAATCCAGATGTGAACCCTGTGCTTAGAGGATTGTCAGCGACACCTCGCTGACGAGGCCCAAAGAAGGCTAAAATGATCGTCCGCGTTGCTGTATTTCTTGTGCAAAGAGAACTTTCAGCATTTCCTTTCTGCACTGCCCTTAAGGGTTGGATAAGACTGATATGCAAATGGTAAAGGTTCTCTTTGTAACAGGAAAAACATTTTTGAGATCTGAGCGGGTGCTAACCGAAGGGAAACCTACTGAGTTTCTCTAAGCTTTTGCCTGTTTTCAGCGTTCTCATAGTCTCTGTTTTTCTATTTAAACAGCCAACCTGAGGATTAAAGGGGATTCAACATCTGAAGAGCCAAACAGATGATATTTCGTATAGTAGCACCCATCAAATTTAGCAGCTGTAAATTAAATTGAACAGAAGTAAAATACAGAATAAATCTAAGCATGCTGGAATCCAAAATACATAGAAAAATCATTTTTTTTTTTTTTTTTTTAATTCTTCAAAAAAAGAAGAAATAAAATATCTTCTTCCAATGCTTTTTGGATCACCAACCATTGTGTATCTATTCTAGGAATGCTGAGTAAACCAGACAATTTCTCTTGCTAAGCAATATATTATTACATTTGATGCTGAATACTTTAAACATTTCAAACTAAGCTCTTGTTGATGTTCTTTTTACTTATTATGATTTTAAATTATGTGGTGAACAGTTATTATGTGCTGCTGAAATATTTTATTAAGTACAATGGAATTAAGAAGTCACTAACAAGACAAATATATCTTTGTGATGCAAATGTTTAAGTTAATCAAGCAAAATACTTCATCTTTTAATTAGTAAACACATGAGAACAATACAATCTGCTCATTGCAGAGATTCATTAACAAAAAAATATGACATATTTTGATACATTGGTTCATTTCTAATATGTTTACCCCATCAAGCATATTTATTTTGGACCAAAGTGTATATATAATCTGTTTCATATTATGCATGCTAAATTGCTCCAAAAAATTACACACATTTATGTCAGGAAAAACACAGAATGGGTACTTCATGCAAATAGTGACTGTTGTCTAAACATTATTAAGCCTCTACTGCCACCTACTGGTTAATGTTGCTGTCTGTAAAATGTAGATTTAAATATAACAAAAATATAAACAATCCCTGTGTACTATCCCAAATCCCTATACACATTTATAAAACAGGTTTAAGTAACACTGCAATGGCCATTAAAGGTCACCTACCAGCATCAAATACAATATATGAATTAAATGAGAAAGGCAGAGGACCTACTATCAGGTTCCCTTGTACCATTCGTTCACTAAAAAGTGATTTTGGGGGTGTATAAACTGATAGCAGTTACGTTATTGTTACTATCAGTTTATAATGCAGGTCTAAACATCCTACGTGATGACTCGAACTGTGGGTTATCCCATAAATCAGCTCACGTTTATGTGGACGTTTATCTACAGAAGTTTATGTAATAAGGTTAGTCCCGGTGGACCAGAATATGATGCTCCTGACTGGACTATTTATTTGCAGTATCTTTAATGCATCATCCTGGACATTCTTCCAGTCAGGAGGAGTAACATAATCGGAGGAGAAATAGACTCAGGGGGTGCTTGGCCTCGGTGTGTGATATTCGTGTATTAGGGAGATTAGGAGAAAGTAGGGGCTTTTTTACTGAGGCTTTATGGACACAATTGTTGCCAAGGGCTTGAAAATAAGGGATTTATGCTGTATTGGTGGTCTTACCTGCATTGCTGCAAATGGCACACGTAGGGTATGGGAATTAGACGAACCACGCTTGTTTTATTTTATGCCCTCCTCCATACAGCAGTATGTTGGTTGTGGGCAGGTCTGGACTGGGACAAAAAGTTAGCCGTGGCATTTAAAGGCAGAGCAGAGAAATGAGAGGGGTGTGGCCAGAGATGGGCGTGTTAAGTCATTGGCTATGGCAAACACGCCCCCAAAATGACTATATTAATTTGATGTCTCTCTAGAGCAGTCTATGTGCACAGCCCTGCTGTTCTCAGATGGGAAAAATACCTTGTATTTTCTTTGCACAGTGTATGCAAATAAATAATGAAATACTTCTGCTACATTACCTGGTACCCGGTATCTGGTGATCCTATAATTGGGATATCAGTGGACAAAAGTAAGACTGGGTTGGTAAAGGGTGCTCCACATGTATATTGAGGCTGCCAGTAGTGTTGTGTGTGTTTGGAGGTTGCTTATGCAACTGAATGTGCATAAGGAGGGCTATTTTTGGTGCAGTGTGTGTAAAGGGTTATGATTGTGGGCCCTCGCGTTATAGGTCTGTCACCACGTTACAGTTCACTGGACAGGTGAGGGAGATCTTTATTCTCAGTGAAGGGACCGGTGGTGCATGGACCCGCAGGGGAGATCCTTTGATTTCCACTGCCAGCCTCGGCCTGTGGCCATCGCAGCCCAAAGGCCAGTCTGGGCCTGGTTGTGGGAGAATGAGCAAAGAGTCAACCTAGGTTCCTCTTTATTTTCAGATTGCCTTAAGAAAACCTTCTTTCAATTTTCATTTAATGATTGATTACTTATCTAGCCATACTCCTATAAAGATAGTGACTTATTTATTTACGTTTTGGACCAGTTCAGGTATTGTTCGGTAATCACTACTAGAAGAATTACTGAGCTACATGACTTAGCTAAGTAACTGTAGGCAATTTGCTTCAGAACAAATTCAGATCACTGTAGGCTTTGGTTTAATGTTGGTAGTAAATCTAGGAAGTTAAGGCACGTAATAGCCTTTCATTGCTCGAAATGGTTTTGTCCAAACTATAAAATTCTACTTTAGAAACAAACCCTCAAAGTGATTCATCAGATTTCATAACCAGTTATGTGTCTGGTTCACACAGAATATTCATTCACATAAAATTAATTTTATTAGCTATTTTACCTTGCTATTCTACACATAAGAAAATTACAACTGAAATTCATCATTATAGTATGTTCTTTTGCATTTTTATTTTTAAAATATTTAAACAGCAGAACTTTCAGTGTTTCAAAATGTCACACAGTTGTTCTGTGCAATATTCCAGCTCCAGTTTGAAAAATTCATAAACTTCCAATTAGATTCTGCCCTTTCTCTTTGTAGCTAGGAGAAAACTGAAGCTGTCTGCTATACACTGTTATCTCGTGAAACAAAATATGCAGCATAAACTAGAAAATTTATTTTAATATTAAAAAAAACTAACAATAGAAAATGAAAGCAGAAAAGTATACATTTTATTAAAATGAATTAATAACACCAAATCCTATGTCTTGTACAGTTATAAGATCGTACAGTGTACACACACTGTCAAAGGCCACACAACAAAAAGCTCTGATAGCATTATTTTATTAGACCTAAGAGACGTCCCCTTAGAGAGGGATAATACAAACCTACCCTCCTACTTAAAAGCACTTGATAAAGTGGAATATCTAAATTGTCTGCAAAGTAAATTTTTATTATATACTACTATCCTATTTCAGATTTACATTTATAACTTAACTTTAAAGGACCACTATAGTACCAGGAAAACAAACTTGTTTTCCTGGCACTATAGTGTTAATAGGTTCCCCCCACCCTCAGGGTCCCACTCCCGCCGGGCTGAAGGGGGAGGAAGGGGCTAAACACTTACTATTCTCCAGCGCCGGGCTCCCTCGGCGCTGGGGACTCTCCTCCTCCTTCCGACATCATCTGCTGAATGCGCATGCGCGGCAAGAGCCGCGCGCGCATTCAGTCAGTCCATAGGAAAGCATTTCTCAAGGCTTTCCTATGGACGCTGGCGTCTTCTCACTGTGAAAATCCCAGTGAGAAGCATGGAAGCGCCTCTAGTGGCTGTCAATAAGACAGCCACTAGAGGCTGGATTAACCCATATGTAAACATAGCAGTTTCTCTGAAACTGCTATGTTTACAGCAGGCAGGGTTAACCCTAGATGAACCTGTCACCCAGACCACTTCATTAAGCTGAAGTGGTCTGGGTGCCTATAGTGATCCTTTAATAAAATATCTTCTTCAAATTTTTTGTCTAATTCTTACATGTAGGATACTTGTTGTGCATCCTATATATTGTATCTCACAGTAACATCCTAACAGGAACATTACATTCCTGGTATTACAAGTGATTTGTTCCTTTATTTTGAATTTGTTTCCTGTACTTGTTGATTTTAAATTCTCTATCATAATAGTTCTTTGCTCTATCCTAATAGTTCTCTGTTTTGACAACTCGGGCATTTTTTACAAACCCCTTTTTAGTGTTCGAAGCTTGGACTTGTCACCAGTGGGGTACCTCAGGGATCTGTACTTGGACCCATTCTCTTTAATATTTTTATTAGTGATATTGCAGAAGGTCTTGATGGTAAGGTATGTCTTTTTGCTGATGATACTAAGATATGTAACAGGGTTGATGTTCCAGGAGGGATAAGCCAAATGACAAATGATTTAGGTAAACTAGAAAATGGTCAGAATTGTGGCAACTGACATTTAATGTGGATAAGTGCAAGATAATGCATCTTGGACATAAAAACCCAAGGGCAGAGTACAGAATATTTGATAGAGTTCTAACCTCAACATACGAGGAAAGGGATTTAGGGGTGATTATTTCTGATGACTTAAAGGTAGGCAGACAATGTAATAGAGCAGCAGGAAATGCTAGCAGAATGCTTGGTTGTATAGAGAGAGGTATTAGCAGTAGAAAGAGGGAAGTGATCATGCCATTGTACAGAACACTGGTGAGACCTCACTTGGAGTATTGTACTCAGTACTGGAGACCGTATCTTCAGAAGGATATTGATACCTTAGAGAGGGTTCAGAGAAGGTCTACTAAACTGGTTCATGGATTGCGGGATAAAACTTACCAGGAAAGGTTAAAGGATCTTAACATGTATAGCTTGGAGGAAAGACGAGACAGGGGAATATGATAGAAACATTTAAATACATAAAGGGAATCAACACAGTAAAGGAGGAGACTATATTTAAAAGAAGAAAAACTACCACAACAAGAGGACATAGTCTTAAATTAGAGGGACAAGGTTTAAAAATAATATCAGGAAGTATTACTTTACTGAGAGGGTAGTGGATGCATGGAATAGCCTTCCAGCTGAAGTGGTAGAGGTTAACACAGTAAAGGAGTTTAAGCATGCGTGGGATAGGCATAAGGATATCCTAACTATAAGATAAGACTAGGGACTAATGAAAGTATTTAGAAAATTGGGCAGACTAGATGGGCCGAATGGTTCTTATCTGCCGTCACATTCTATGTTTCTATGTTCATAAAAATGTTCTTTTCTGTCTTCGTTTAAATAATACTTAACTAAATCCATGACTGCTACCACAATCACAGCAATTTTTCATTTGGGTAGGGCAACAGCCACAACTTTATTTGTAATTTAAATACCAGCAAGACAAGAGGTTGTGTACCTAAACTGCTTAGGATAGAAAACCTGACTACCAGATGTCAGAGATGTCAGACTAATAGCTTCACTTATACATACCCCAAAAAGGGTTATAATGGCCACTACACTCTAAGACAACATTTTATTTACCCTAGACTACATTAATTCTATCTAACTCTGAATACTGTTAATCCATTTTAAACTCTAAGTCTTACTTAATACATCCTATTTTTCCAGTTTTCCAGGAAGGGGTTAATTGAACGTACCGTGGTAATTCCCCTTGCAGCTAGGTTTTTCCATTTCTGGAACTCACCAATGAGAAATTGCCATGTTGCACCAATAGAAAGATCCATCCTTATATTTAAACTGAATGCTGTGTACCAACCGGTTCCCCTTTGATGAGCCTGGTCTGGTGAAACGCGCGCGTCAGGGATTCCTAGCGCGCTGTTCTTTTGACCTAGAAACGAGCACATTCACTTGCAACCGTGCTTTTTCGTTTATCAGTTTTTTATTTACTCATTTATTATTTATTGTCTTTTGCCACAAGATTCACAAGCTTAGTGGGACTAGCGGAGGGTGCCCTCGAAGGCACAGGGGGTGTATTAGCTTTAGCACTGTAGTATTGGTAGTCTACTCGATAGAAACCTCTATCTATTTATCACTCCCACTGACTACTGGGACGATGAGACCTTCTTAATAACACTACCTTTCACGAGAATTACTAATAGATACTCTATCTCTCCTCGATCCAGCTCTTATAGATCTAGACTACAGTACTCTTAAGTGCTTCACTACTCCCCTATGAATCTTTAGACCGACCCACTATCATTTCGTTTAAGTTCCTACTCAGCAGTTATTCACATTCAAGGAAGATTTATTTCACTGTTTGATGATTATACATGGCAAGTTACCTGTATATATCTCCCACCAGTCCCGAACAAACTGACATTAACCTTCCAAATGTACTGTCTAGATGCCTTATTTATTTTCTAAGTATTGAAAAACACTTAATACCAAAGGGGTGAATACCAAGGGATACCTAGGCTCGGTTCCTAACAGACAGCCTTTACCAGAAGGATTGATAAATTGATTATGACTAAATTAACCTTCCTGTTATACACTGTGTTAGTGTTACTATCAAGCACTACCTTGCTATTATCTCTATTCAGTAGCCTGTAAATATCCAATTACTAGAATTGGCCGTCATTTAGACTAATCATATAATTTTGACTCCACACCTGCTAATCTTACTGTGTATCCCTTACCAGTCCTGATTTAACTAGCATTTATTTGTAGTAGCCCAAGTATATTTATATATATATATATATATATATATATATATATATATATATATATCTTTCTGTTATCCATATATATGCTATAATCAGCAGACTAGACATTTTTTTCATGCAAGTAGGGATCTGATATAATTATGGATGATACCCTAGTTTGCATGCTATGTTTAAGAATGCTTACAATCCTACACTAGCAAATCGAGAGCGGTATGATTGCTAGTCGGTTTTAGCACCACAGGGTGCTTTTTAATTTGGTATTG